CCATGGTATAAACATATTTTCCCAGAGTTTTCTAAACAACCCTTGACCCGTTGGCTTCCTGTGGCGTTTTGCCAGGCTGGCCCTGCCTCCCCACTGCCAGTGGCCGTGCAGGTAGAGCCAAACCAGAGATCCTGGAGGGTGGCAGGGATGGGAAAGGGACGAGGGTGCTTCCCCTGGACAGCCTCCATCCCTGTGGGGGCTTGGATCAAAGCTCTGGAGCAGCAGGGGTGGGGGTGAGGGCTGGGTGAGACCCAGCACCTCTGAGCTTCAGCTTTTCCAGCTGTAAAAGTGGGACAAAGATACGGAGCCGCGTTACTTCCCCGGCGGGGAGGAAAGCCCGGGGCTCTGCCTTCCCCTCCCCAGCCCCGCCCGGCCCCCGGCAGCGGGGCAGGGCATCGAGCCCTCCTGTCGGGGGCTGGCCCGGCTCTGAGCTCCGGGGAGAAGCCGTCAGGACCGGGGCTGGGCGCCTGCTTGTCCCCGGCTGTCTGTCCTGCTGTGGGCAGTGTGTCTGTCTGTGGCTGGGAGTGCGGGGGGAGCTCCCTGCAGGGTGAGGAAGGCAAGGAAAACGGGATGTAAAATGCCCGGGATGAGGCTGGCAGCCCCGTGGGTGTCTGGGGGCCAGCGCAGAGCCCAGCCCTGCCGGGGAAATGGAGGCAGGGATGGAAAAGGAGGCGAGGATGGGAAGCAGAGGTGAGGATGGAAAGCCTAGGGAAGGGTGGGAAGCCAGCAGCCCAGGGGGGTGGCAGAGCTGGGCATCCTGCCCCGTGGCTGGCCCTTGGTGACTCCCCAGAGCCCTCATCACCCAGGGACAATCCCACGGGTGCTCCTGCTTTGCTTTGAGACCCAAAGCCAGCCCTGAGTGCCCCGGAGCAGCTGTGCAGCCAGGCAGGACACACGGCAGCCTCCCTGCAGGCTGTGTGTGTGCCAGGGGCCGCTCTGGGCCAGCACAAAGTGCCCTGTGAACAGCAATTCCCAGCTCGCTCCCAGCCAGCAGCAAAGGCCGGCGCTGGGAGCTCAGTGAGATCCGACCAAGCCCTTGGCTGAGGGCTCTGAAAATCCAAAACAGCCTTGTAAAGATGAAGCTCGTAAAAGCAGGACTCTGCTTTCGTAGCTCATGAATGGGAAGAAATGCCAACCAGATCGTTTTTACACATATTTTTTCCGTCTTTGTCAACATTCCCCCATTTGGCTGAGACTTCAAACTGCCGCGTTTGGAGACCGCCTGTCTTAGAAGTTCCAGTATTTGTATAAATAACTGATAGGGAAGGATGATCCACTCTGGAGTCTGCCCAGGGGCCCTGGGAACTGCGCTGGGGCCGTGGAGCCTCCCAGAGTTTTGGGGTTCTCCAGTGCCAAGTGAGCAGGGCAGGAAGTGTGGGTGGGGGTCTCCAAACACCAGCACCCCCGAAATTCAGGAAGGGGGGCAAGAAAGGGCTCCTCCATCCACTGGGAAGGAGGCTCAGGCAATAACTGTGGGAGCGAAGTGGTGACTGTGGCCCTGAGCGTCACCTGGGTGGAGCTGTGTCACCTGTGCTGATGTCGGGGTGGGGGGTGACAGGGGTGACACTGTCCCCACCAGGGACAGGCTGTCCTGCCCGGGGAGAGTCTGAGCACAGCGAGGGGTGCACGGAGAGGGCAGCACAGAGGGCTGAGGGCTCACGGGGAAGGACAGGAGCGGGATGGTGTGTGGAGAGCAGGGACAGACGTGTGGCACTGGGGACTCAGAGAGGGGCTGGAGGGCACAGGGATGGGATGGAGAGCACGGGGAAGGGCGGGAGAGCGCGGCGAGAGGCTGAGATGTCCGGCGGGGACACCGGGGGGGAGCGGGGCGGGCCGGGGCAGCGCGTCCGGGGGGAGGAGGAGGAGGTGCCGCCGCTCGCTCCCCTTCCCTCGCCCTCCGGAGCGAGCAGCCCGGGGCCGCCCCTCGCCTTTAAAGGCTCCTCCTCCGGCGCGGAGGGGCCCCGGCCCCGCCGGTCCGGCCCGAGGGCTGCGCCGGGAGCGCGGCGGGGAGCGCGGCGGGGCGCGGGGCCGGTGCCCCCAGCCCGGCCGAGATGAGCCCCCTCCCCGCGGGCAACGGCAGCGCCTGGGGGGGCTCCGGCAACTGCAGCGGGGCGGGCAGCCTGGGCCGGCAGTGGCTGCTGGGCACCGCCATCAGCCTCACCGTCCTGGTCACCGTGGCCGGTAACTTGCTGGTGATCGTGGCCATCGCCAAGACGCCGCGGCTGCAGACCATGACCAACGTCTTCATCACCTCGCTGGCGTGCGCCGACCTCATCATGGGCTTGCTGGTGGTGCCGCCGGGGGCCACCATCCTGCTGAGCGGCCAGTGGCCCTACGGCACGACGGTGTGCGAGCTGTGGACCTCGCTGGACGTGCTGTGTGTCACGGCCAGCATCGAGACGCTGTGCGCCATCGCCGTGGATCGCTACCTGGCCATCACCTCCCCGCTGCAGTACGAGGCGCTGGTGACCAAGGGCCGGGCCCGGGCCGTGGTGTGCCTGGTGTGGGCCATCTCTGCCTTCATCTCCTTCCTCCCCATCATGAACCACTGGTGGAGGGACGGGGCGGACGAGCGGGCGGCGCGCTGCTACGACGACCCGCGCTGCTGCGACTTCGTCACCAACGTCACCTACGCCATCGTCTCCTCCACCATCTCCTTCTACGTGCCCCTGCTCGTCATGATCTTCGTCTACGTGCGGGTTTTTGCCGTGGCCACGCGGCACGTGCAGCTCATCGGCAAGGACAAGGTGAGGTTCCTGCAGGAGCCCCCCAGCCCCACGGGCAGGAGCAGCCGGCGCCGGCGACCCTCCCGCCTGCTGGCCATCAAGGAGCACAAAGCGCTCAAAACCCTGGGCATCATCATGGGCGTCTTCACGCTCTGCTGGCTGCCCTTCTTTGTGGCCAACATCATCAAGGTCTTCTGCCGCTCGCTGGTGCCCGACCAGCTCTTTCTCTTCCTCAACTGGCTGGGCTACATCAACTCGGCCTTCAACCCCATCATCTACTGCCGCAGCCCCGACTTCAGGAGCGCCTTCCGCAAGCTGCTGTGCTGCCCGCGCCGCGCCGACCGCCGGCTCCACGCCGTCTCGCAGGACCTGCAGCGCTGCCCCTGCGCCTTCAGCCCCCGGGGGGAGCCCGCAGGGGACAGCAAGGCGGCCCCCGGGCGCCCCGGGGAGGACGGCGAGGCTCGGGGCAGCGGCAGCAGAGCAGAGGAGGCTCCTCTGCCCGCGGGCGGTGGCCACCGGCAGCGGCCCCGGGGCGAGTCGCGGCTGCAGGGCGCGCAGACCGCGCTGTGCTCCCAGCTGCATGAGTAGGTACCTGCAGGCATTTGCTCGGGAGGGGCTCGGGGGGTCCGGTTCAGCCCTTTGGGGGGTGGCTGGGGGGCTATCGGTGCTGGGACTGTGCTGTGACGGCGCGGTGCAGAGCTGGGGGAGCAGGGATGTGGGACTGGGATGTGGGACTGGGCACCACTGTCCTGCTCCCTGATGTTCCCCTAAAACTCTGGCTCCTCCACTGGGCTGCAAAATTGGGGTCCCAACCAGTCCCGCCAGGACCTGTCTGCTGTTTCTGGGTAAAGGAAACACGGCTGGTGAACAGGGGAGCCAACCAGCTGAGCCGGAATGTGTCCCAAAACCTGGCATTTCCCCCTTCTCCTCCCCATCCCGCTTTCTGCTGCTAAAGAAGGAAAACGCGGGGACCCCTTCCCAGCGAGGCACTGCGGCTGCCGTCGCCACTCCGGGCTCTGCAGGTTGCTTTGCCCTCCAGCGGTGTAAATCTGGGAAGGGAATTAATTTCACCCCGCTCGGTCCCATGACGGGAAATGCGCTCCCGGAGCCGGCAGCCCGCACAGAGCAGGGGACTGGCAGGGGCTGCTGGGGGCTGGCAGGGGGCTGGCAAGGGCTGGCAGGGATGCCCATGCTGTGGCTCTGCCCAGCCGGCACCCTGACACAGATTTACACCTCCAGTTACAGGGTGGGGTTTTTTATTAGTATGACAAAATTGGAGTTATTCTGGTTACTGTGGATTTTAACCGTGTTTCTCTCCTGATGCCTGAGGGCAGGAGAGGTTTCCTGCCAGGGATGGGCAGGTAGAGGTGTTTCCTGGGCAGGATTCACCCGTGCTGGGCGCTGCGTGGTGGGAGGGTCTGTTCTCACCCCTGCGCTCTCCCATTTCAGGTTTGCTGGCGGAGAAACTCCCGCGGGTCCATCCGAGTGACTGCGAGCAGCCGAGAGCTGGGAGGAGAGCGCTTCCCCGGCCGGGCCAGCGCCGCTCCGGCCTCTCCTCTGCCCGCCTTGGCCGCCGCCCTCCCCGGGGACCGCAGCCCGTGGCCAGCCCGTGGCTGCTGCCCGGCTTCGGGCACGTGAGTCCGGATCGGCGCGGCCGCAGCCCCTTAACCCTGCTTGTGCTGCTGCCGGGCCGGCTCGCTGGAGCTGCACGCCGCTCCCGGATCCCCCCGCGCCCGCTGGGGTGGCGGCTGTGGGTCCCTGTCCCCAGCCGAGCCCGCTGGGTGACCCTGTGTCACCTCGCACCCTCTCCTTGCAGGGCCGGGGTTGCAGAAGCAGCGCCGGGGGTGACGGGGCTGCCAGGAGCCTGCACCGACCCGGAGAGGAGGAGGAGGAGGAGGATCTCCCTGGTGGTCCTGGGACAGCACCAGCTCCTTCGTGCTGGAGACCCGGAGCTGGGGAGAAGCCCTGGAGCTGCTCAGCGAGGGGCAGCACAGCCTCAGGGATGTATGGACAGGGGACAAGCTCCCATCTGGGTGCTCCTGGCACGCTGGCAGTGGGATGTGCAGACTGCCAGCTCTGCCCTCTTGAAGGACAAAGGACCCTGTTGTCCCAGGCTTGGCCAGTTTCGGACAGTCTGCCGAGAAGGAGACAAGAGCCTCCTGCAGGCTCGAGCCCTTCCCAGGACTTCCATCCCTGCCCCAGCTGCTGCATTCCAGGGCTGAGCTCAATCCAGGAGCCGCAGCGACGCCTTCAGCAGAGGAGAAGCTCAGGGGGATGAATGAGGAGAGCTCCGAGCACGGAGCACTCCCAAACGCAGCGAGCTGGGATGGTCTCGGGCCCCTCGGCAGTTCCCCCTCTCGTTGGGGACAGGTGCCCGTGTCCCCGGGGGACGGGAGGTGGATTCTCATCTCACAGTGTGTGCACAGGTTTATCCCGGTTTGTGTCCCCCTGCCTGTGAAATAAACCTCTGGATCTCCGCGGTGCCCCCAGCTCTGTCCCGGGGGGCTGCCTGAGGTTCGGGGGGTCCATCCCGTCCTGGGGCCGTGGCTGGCGGGAGAGCCGGGCTGGGCACGGCGCTGCCCCGAGCGCTGCCCGGTTCCCGCAGCCGGGCGGGCGGAGCTGCCCTGACAGCTCCCGGTGCCGCGGAAATCAACCCCGGCTCGGGGCAGGGACCGCGCCCGGGATGGTGCAGGGTGTCCCCGCAGGGACCGGCACACACCTGCACTCACCTGTACACACACAGCTGTACACACCTGTACACACTCACCTGCACTCACCTGTACTCACCTGTACACACACTCACCTGTACACACACAGCTGTACACACCTGTACACACTCACCTGCACTCACCTGTACTCACCTACCTGTACTCACCCACCTGTACACACTCACCTGCACTCACCTGTACTCACTCACCTGTACACACTCACCTGCACTCACCTACCTGTACACGCCTGTACACACTCACCTGTACACACTCACCTGTACACGCTCACCTGCACTCACCTATACTCACTCACCTGTACACACACACCTGTACTCACCTACCTGTACACGCCTGTACACACACACACCTGAACACACTCACCTGCACTCACCTGTACTCACCTACCTGTACTCACCTGTACACACACTCCCCTGCACTCACCTGTACTCACCTGTACACACACACCTGTACACACACCTGTACACTCATCTGTACACACCTGTACTCACCTGTACACACACTCACCTGCACTCACCTGTACACACACACCTGTACACTCACCTGTACACACACCCCTGCACTCACTTGTACACACCTGTACACACCTGCACTCACCTGTACACACACACACACACACACACCTGTATCACCTGTACATATTCACCTGTACACGCACACCTGTATCACCTGCACTCACCTGTACACACCTGTACACACCCACCTGTATCACTTGTACTCACCTGTACACACCTGTACACACACACCTGTATCACTTGCACTCACCTGCACTCACCTGTCCCCCAGGCCCCGCCCCTCCGGCCCCGCCCTCCGCGCGCTCTCGCGAGAGGGGCGGGGCGGCGCTCCCGCCGCCGCCGCCGGGCTGGGCGCCCACCCACGCGCGGGTGACGGTGCTGCGGGCGCGGGGGCTGCGCGCCAAGGCGGCGGCGGGCGGCAGCGACGCGTACGCCGTGATGGCGCTGGGCCGCGACAAGTTCCGCACGTCGGTGGCCGAGCGGTGCCGCGGCGAGCCGCTGTGGCGGGAGGAGGCCACCTTCGAGCTGCCGCCGCCGCCCGCCAAGCTGCGCCTCACGGTGCTGCACCGCGCCCTGGCCGGCGCCGACAAGTTCCTGGGCCGCGCCGAGGTGGAGCTGGCCGCGCTGAGGGACGATGGGGGCCGGCGGCACACCAGGTGCGACCGGGGCGCTCCGGGGAGGGGATGGGCACCCTCGGGCAGAGCGGGGTGAGGGCTGCTGTGTGCCGGGGAGGGGGATGGAGAGGCCCCTCCGGGTCTTGAGGAGGTTTTGGGGGGGTCACGGAGAGGTGTGAGGGGAGCTGTGCGGCCCTCGGAGGTCTGAGGGGGATCCTGTGCCCCAGGGGACAGTGAGGGGTAGCTCTGTGCCCTTCGGGGGTGGAATGCTGTGGGGAGTCCCCCGTGGGATGATGTCCCTGTTCCTGGTGGAAATCTCTGTGTTCCTCAGGCACGGGGGAGACCTCTGTGTCCTCAAGGAGTCCCCGTGCCCCCATGGCAGTCTGTGTGTCCCCATGGCAGTCTGTGTGTCCCCATGGAGTCCCCATGGCAGTCCGTGTGTCCCCATGGCAGTCTGTGTGTCCCCATGGAGTCCCCATGGCAGTCCGTGTGTCCCCATGGCAGTCTGTGTGTCCCCATGGAGTCCCCATGGAGTCCGTGTGTCCCCACGGCAGTCCCCGTGCCCCCATGGCAGTCTGTGCGTCCCCATGGAGTCCCCATGGCAGTCCGTGTGTCCCCATGGCAGTCCCCGTGTCCCCACGGAGTCCATGTGTCCCCACGGCAGTCTGTGTGCCCCTAAGGAGTTCCTGTGCCCCCATGGCAGTCTGTGTGCCCCCATGGAGTCCGTGTGTCCTCAAGGAGTCCGTGTGTCCCCATGGTAATCTGTGTGTCCCGCAGCCTGGGGCTCACTCCGTGCCCCAGGGTAGTGCTGGGGGACTCTTGGGGGACACAGGGACCCCTGAAGCCCCACGGGGTGACCCCTTGGAGCAGGTGAGCCCTCTGAGCCCCCATGGCTGGGGGTCTGGAGAGCGCTGTTCCAGCCAGTCCTGCCTGGTCCTTGGGTTTGATTTCCAAACGTTTCTGTGTGAGTGCTGCCACTACAGAGCAAACAGCCAGCCTGCCCCCCGAAACCTGACATCCTCACAGTGCTGCCTCCTTCCAGCAGGGACCAGGTTATTTATTTTTGCTAACAAACACTTTTGAAGCGTGTCAGGGTGGATAATTCCACCTTCCAGGGGCTGACTGGGAGCCGGGGCCGCTCCTGCCCAGCGCCAGCTCTGTGTCACACTCGCTGCTTTGAACACAAACACGGGCACGGTGAAACCCAGGGGTGGTGCCCGGGAGGGTTTTGCTGGGAGTCAGCAGCCTTGTAATGTGCTGGTGAGTCACCTTCCTCCCCTGCCTCACCTGAGCGCCGTCCCGCTTGTCAGGGCTTAATTAGGCCGCGGGTTCATTAGGGCTGTGTCAGACTCTGGCTGTGTTTACACTGCAGCCTCTTGGTCAGCAGAGCTCAGGGCCGGTGCCTCAGGCACCCGGGCGCGTTCCTTTGTGTCTGGGCAGAGGAAAATTGAGGGGGAGAAAAAAGGAAAGCAGAGCTTTGCTGCTCCTGGGGAAGTTTCTCATGTTTTCAGTTGTTTGCAGCCCTCGGTTTCCTGTTTGAAGCCTGCTGCCATGGTGATGTGTAGCCAGTTTTATTGGAAAATAGATAGATGATGATTGACAAGTGCTTTCTAACACCATAAATGCCACTAATGAGATTTTTTTTGTGGTTTGGGGATTGTCAGTCTGTGATTTCCTTCCAGCCACCCCCAGGGTGCTGCTTTCAGCTGGGGCTGAGCTGCCTTTGCTGAACACGGTGTTTGCCCAGGATCAGTTGTGGCACTGAAGCCCTGCGAGCACAGGATGCTCCTGGAAATCACAGCTTTGGAACAAAAAGCCCAACAAAACAGTGCTGACTCGAGTTAAAGGCAAAGGGGTTGTGATCCCCAGGCTGCTGCAGCTCCAGGCACTGGGCAAAACCTCGGTCTCCTGATAAATGCCCTTTTCTGGGTGTCTTCTAAGCCCAAGCCAGAGCACCTGAATGTCCCTCAGCTGTTCATTTAGAGTCACAGAATCCCAGAGTGGACCCTAAAGCCCATCCTGTTCCACCCCCTGCCCTGGGCAGGGACAGCTTCCACTAGACCATTGCTCCAAACCTGGCCTTGAACACTCGGAGGGACAGGACAGACACAGCTTCTCCAGGGCCTCGCCACCCTCAGAGGGAAGAATTTCTTCCTCATTTCCCTCTGAAGTGTCTGCAGCAGATTCCTGAATCCACCTCCTTCAGTTATCCCCATTAGTTTTGAATTTTCTCTGGAGCAAATCACCTTTTCCCGTTCTCTTTTGTTGCTTCCAGCATACCTTTGGAGGTTGAAGTGCAAATTTGATGGCAGGGCACATTTGCATGCTCTGTTTGCTGCCTTTATTTTCCCATTCCAGCTGGTGAGGAGGAAGAAACAAAGCAATTTCCAGGCAGCCCTTCCCTATGGGTCCTGTGGGGTCGGGAATGCTGCGGTTCCACCAACAAATGAAACCATGCTGGCGTGCTGTGCTGGCTCAGATGTGGCTTGAGTGTCACCGAGGGGTGGTTGAGGGTGTGTGGGTGGTGGGATTGTGGTTTGGGATGCCCTGGGCACTGCCCACACAGAGCTTGTTGGGGAGGGAGAAGGCTCTGGCTGAGCAGTGCCCTTCCTGGTGTGTGCCAGTCACGAGCCTGGAGAGGGGAGTGGAAATCCCCGAGGTCTGGGAGGCTGGGGTTGGCTCTCTGCTGTTGATTAGGGGTTCCTGGGCTTAGGAGGCATTAAGGAGCTGGAATGAAAGGTATGAGGGCGTGGGACGCCTGTGCAGCTCTGAGGCTGCTGCTCTCACTCCACTTCAAAGCTGTGGCCCCTGCCAGTGTCAGGAGGAGAGATGAAAGGGCAGAGGAGAGCGGCTGAGCTGAAATACAAGAATTCCACGTCGTGCCTCTGTTTTTTCTCCTTTTTTTTAACCCTTCCTGATCTGGTTTTAAAGCAAATCTTATTAATAACTTTCTGTTTACGATAAGGAGTGTTTTCTTTGGCACCTGGGGCCGTGACCATGACGTCACCATAAGATTAAAGTCTTTCTTTTCCTACACTGTGGGCTGATTTGATTTTTCAGCCATAAGCACCCTCTGTGTTCTCAATTACCGGCGGTTAAAGAAATCTCCCTGTTGCTGCAGGTGGTACAAGCTTCACTCCAAACCAGGGAAGAAGGAAAAGGAGAGAGGGGAGATCGAGGTGGACATCCAGTTCATGAGGAGCAACATGACAGCCAGCATGTTTGACCTGTCCATGAAGGACAAGCCCCGCTCTCCCTTTGGGAAGCTCAAAGACAAGCTCAAGGGCAAGAGGAGCAGTGGCCTCTCGGACACGGCCTCGGCCATCGTCCCCAGCACCTCCCACTCCCCTGCTGACAGCGAGGATGAGGCAGTGGAGAAGGAGAAGAAGAAATCCAAGTTCAAAGCGCTGTTCTCCAAGCCTGGCCTGCAGAAGACATCCTTGTCCCAGTCCATGTCAGTGCTGCCCACTCAGCAGCCCCCCACCCAGAGGGTTCGGCTGCGGCCCAGCGACTTCCAGGCGCAGTGGGATGAGGAGGAGCCCGAGACCTCTCCTGTCTCAGAACGTGAGTGTTGGCACAAAACCTTCCCCCAAAGGGTTCTTTACACTTTTCACAGCGCTGGTTAAATTCTCCTTTCTGAACAAATCCACAGAAGGTCCCTGCTGGCACTGAGGCTGCTGTAGTGTCAGAGAAAAGGTTGTTCTTGCATCTTCAATTTCTCCCTGTTTTCTTTTCCAGGATCCTTTGAAAGTGTGCCAGCACAGAAGCCAGCTCCTTCTCCTCTGTTCAAATCTCGTAAACCAGCCTTTTTGGACAGTAGGCAGCTAACCCAGGGCACCACTAACCACACCAAAAAGGATGGGCTGTCTTTGTTCAGTGGCCTTAAATCCAAAAACGATCCCGTGTCCAAGTCTAGTCTGTGCATCAATGGCAGTCACGTTTATATGGAAGAGACCACGACGAAGGACAAGACTCCAACCTCCTCCCCCTCTCCTCACAACCTCAGGAGGAAGCAGCACTTTGCTTCAGAGGAAAATCTCTTCTCCAGGTCCACTAAATCACCTGAAGAGATGGGGAGAACCTCTCCTGGGCAGGCATTCTCTGGGTCCACATCCTTGGAGACCTTCAAGTCCATGACTTTGCCATCATACAAACTGCTCAGCAGTGAGGAGCACCTGGACACCAGCGTTCCACCAAGCATCGAGGTTGTTAGAGAGACCAAAAAACCAGACCACAAAAAGTCTGCCTTGCTCTCCCTGGTCACTGGGAAGAAGGAAATGGTGAAGCCCAGTGATGCTGAGATTATTCCCGACAGGACCCTGCAGAGTGAGGAAAATACAATTCCAGAAGAGAAGAGTGAAGAGGAGGCCAAATGCCCTGAAGCCCCAGCAGATGTGGGCAGAAGGAGCCCCTCAGGAGACTCCCACCACGCAGAGGAGGCCCTCACAACCAAGGAGGAGGAACAGAAACCTGAGAAAGCTGCGCCGGCCAAGACCAAAGCTGTGAAACCCAGGTGGGTCCCAGCTGCTGGCAGGAGTTGGGGTGGGCAATGCTGGTGGCAGCGGGCTGTGTCTGCCACACCTGGGCTCAGGTGCTGCTCTCTGGGTACCTGTGGGTTTTATGCTAGCATTGGTGGCTTTGTTAGCAAAGAACAACTCCCAGGTTCTTCCTCAGTGTGAAAAAAAGATGGATGTAGGGGTGCTCCTTGTAAGTGATGCTGCAGTGGTGGTTCTCTAGTGCAGGAGGCACCTGTGCAGGTGCTGAAGGGGTGAATTTTCTTGCTGGCTGTCTTGCACAAACTAACTCTGTCTGAGCTGTGTGGCTGCAGCCTCCCCAGGGTCTGAAATGCCCGTTCTAACGTCTCTGCTTTCCTCTTCCCTACTTGGCTTTGGTCTTCCAAAGGGTGGCCCTGTAGCCCTTCTGCTTTTGGCATCGTTCACAGCAGCACAGAGGGACCTTGTGTGGATTTGTACACAAGGTTTTTTTGGAAATTCTGCTCCTTTATCCTTCATACAAATATATAAATTGTGTATGGGGTTTATTATATATATAGGTGTGCCCTACTAATAAGGCTGTGTTTTGTGTCTGTGCCTAACTCCTCATTTTCAGTGCTTCTCAAGTTTGAGTTTCTTGCCTGTGCAGCGTTTTACATACTAATAAACCTGCTTGGGGTGCAAAGAGGCAGTGCTTAAAGCAGCAAAACCAAGCTCTGCAGTAGGAGAGTTCTGACATAAGCCCAGTGCTTGGTAAAGGTGAAATTAAGGATGTGAAGTCTCACAGACAAGGGGACCTCTCTCTGAGGTCTCTTTAAGGTACAGCTCATCTCCAGTGGCAGAGCTGATGGAGGCTGGTGCTAAAGCTTGTCTGTTCCTGCCTCGTGTTGCATCTGCAAGTGACATGCGAGTTTTTTGTCCCTTTTTGCAGACTGGGCCTGTCTCCAGAGGAGGAACCCAAAGCCACGCTTCCTACTCTTGCACCTGACCCCCTCCCTGCTTTTCTCTCTGTGCACCGTATCAGCAGTGCCAATAATCCTTTTATTTCTGAAGTGGGGCAGGCAGTCCAAGTGCCAGACTCTGAAAACATCACTAGTCCTCCTGCCTCTCTCACTTCTCCTGCTTTTGCTGCAGAGCTCTGGAATGACAAGAACCCCTTTAGTCCTGAGTGGGACAGGGCATCCAGAGCCCTGGATCCCGACAGCACCGCCCGTTTCCCTTCACCCCATCACCCTGCAGCCTCTGTTCCCAAAGTGCCTCTTCCTGGGCAGGTGTCTGCCAGGGGCAAGAATCCTTTTGCTGCTGACTGGGGGCAGGCTCCTGAGGGCTCTGAGGCTTCCCAGGGTCTCTCTGGCCCACGCACACCTTCTGTCCCCTCTGGCTGTCCTTTCAATGCCAACAATCCCTTCGTGCCCAAGCGTGGGGCGCAGGCAGTGCCAGGTTCCCAGGATGGTTCCTGCCCTTCCTGCCTTCCTGGTGGGCAGGACTGTTCCTCTGCAGGACACCCTGCTCGTGGTGCTTCAGGGGGCTCTGCACATGTGGCTTTAACCAGTGATGTCACAGCTGTGCTAGACCCTCTGGGCACCTTGTCTGGCCCCCCTGCTGGCCCCTCTGGGCTGGCTCCAGAGCCACACTGGGATTCTGCCCAGCTTCAGCCTGAGGGTTCTTTGGAAAGCAGCAAGCCAGGCCGTGGGAAATCTGTGTCCTTTGTCCTTGGGGAATGGCAGGGTGTTCCATCAGGTGATGTGGGTGTGTGTGGGCAGGAAGGTGGAGAGCAGCCCCTGGATTCCAGTGGGAGGTTACAGATGAGTTCAGGGGCAGCAGGAGAGCCAGCAGGGTTTGGGGGTGAGCTGGGAGCAGGGGGTGACCCATCAACAGAGCTCTCTCATCCCACCTGGAACAGGGATGGAACAGCTGTGGGGGTCACTGCTGGGAGCACTGAGGCCTGCACGAGGGGTGGCAAAGGTGTTGTGTCTCTCTCCAAGTGCAGTGACAGCCTTGTGCCAGAGGCTGACCAAGCACAATCCCCCCAGAGCGAGCTCAGAGATGAGCAGGAGACCTGTGGTGGAAAGCAGTGGGCAGAATGTGTGCCCAGGTTAGAGCCCCAGGCACCTCCACCTGCTGGAAATGAGCCACTGTCTCAGGTCCCAGCAACACCGAGAGCCTGCATGGTGTCCCCTGGGGAAGGGGATCCAGGCAGGGCTGGCAGTGAGGTCCCTGTGCCCCCAAAGCCAGCCCCACGACTGGCTGTGCTGCTGAGGAAATCCCCAGCCCCTCCCCGGGCTGAGCTGAGGGCTGATGTTCCTGCTTCAGGGGAAGGTGTAAAATCCACACCAGGGCTCCCGTTCCCTGAGCCCGCAGCTGCTCCTGGGTGCCTCCCTCAAGGGGGCTCCTTGGGGACTGTCACCCCTGCAGTGGCACCCAGAGGTAAGAACAGTGGCAGGCCTTTAGGAAAGGCGGGTGGTGATGGTTTGTGTGTCAGTCTCACAAATGTCAGGTCTGCAGTTCCTGTTCCCGGGGACCGGGGCTCGGCACTGGCCGGTCTTCCTGTGATCCCGGAGGGAGGCTCTGATGATGAGCTGCTGGGGGACTGCCAGGACAGCTGTGGGGCCACTGCAGGTGACAAAGGTGTTCTAGGGAATGGAGAGCAGCCCCGAGGTTTGACACCTTTGCATGGAGAACAGCCAGAGCTCTCTGATAGCTCTGATGCAGCCCCTGTGATCCCGGCTGCTCCAGGAGGAGGAGCAGGAGCCATTCCTGGTGCTTGTGAGCCAGGGAGCCTGGCTGTGCTGCCTGCTGCAGTGGGTGCTCCCAGGGTCTGTGTGCAGGGAGCTGACTCAGGCTTAGGTGTGACATCTCATTCCACGGAGTGTGACAGTCATTTTGAGAAACAGGAGCTGGAAAGGAGTGCAGGCGCTGAGGAGCGTGCAGAGCGTGACTTCTCTGAGCCTTCTGCTTTCTCTTCCTCCCTGTCAAGTCCTTGCCAGCCCTTCTCTTCCTCTCATTCCCTTCTCTCTGACACCCCGAGTCGTAGAGCAGAGTCTCCGAGAGCCGAGGGCTTCGCAGATAAAGCGGGAAATTCGGGCAAGAAGAAACTCCTCCAGGCACGGGTTTCACCCTCTGAAACGTTCCCTAAGCAAACCCCTCGGGGTGCTGAAACCGTGTCTCCCCAGCACAGGTGAGGCATGTGGGGATCCCAGCAGGTACCTCCGTGCACTGTGAGCTTTGCTTTGCCCTCTGGGTGCAGATCTGTCCCTGAGGCTGCTGCATCAGGCCAGGACAGCCCTGATTTCCTCTGGGTTTGTCAGGGCTTGGCTGCTGTCACCCACTGCGGGGTTGCTGCTGACTCCAGGAGGGTCTGTGCAGCTCCTCAGGGTGCCCAGGGGAGCAGCTGCTCCTCACAGCTCTTAGGGAAGGTGCAGGGGGAATGGAGTCATTCATCCCACTGGCAGAAAGGCTGGGGCTGAGCTGTTTGTCAGACAGGGAGGAGGGACACCTGGTAACTGCTTCATTTCCTGCCTGAGTGGGCTCCTCAGGCATCACCACCACTGCTGCAGCTCCTGCTCGGTGGGAGTGGTGCCACTGACCTGTCAGCCTTTGAGACTTCACCTGCAGAGCTCTGCCTGGGCTCTAGGGCACCCCTGGGCCAGTGTTTGCTGGAGTAGAAGTTAAATTTTGATTCTGTGTTAAAATTGGTGCTGTAAGACCTGTGCAGGCCAATAATGACAGCACTTCTCACAGCTGGTGGTGTCAGTTCAGATTGGACAAGGCCTAGCACTTGTCTCAGGACAGCAGAAGTATTTGGTATGTTGTAAGATCACAAATATGTTCTGATTAGGAAAGTCAGGCTGAAATACCAGTTTCTGAGGGATCAGAGTAGCTGCCCTGTGTTCTGTCTCCTCGTGTAGCCTGACCTGGCTTTTCTTCCATGACACACACAGGATGTATTTCCCTTCCTGCTGCTGCTTTATCTCCAATGCCTTAAGTCAGTAAAGATAGTAGAGAACTGGAAAATACTCTGAAATACCTTGTCTTCCTGAAGCTGAATCTCTTTTCTTTCAGGAGATAGAGCAGGGAGGGAATCATCCCCAATTTCTTGCTGTATTTGTTCCCAGTCTAAAGATCTGTGCCATGCTGCTGTTACCTCTTCTGCCTGAACAACAGCACTCTTTTTTTTTTCCTGTTGCAGACTCCATCCTGTGAAGCCAATGAATGCCATGGCAAACAAGCCTCAGAGCAAGAACCTGAATGTCATCAGCACCATGAATGAAAAGCTGCTGGAAATGAGTGTGAAGGTATGGAGGGAAGTGGCACTTTCACTGCCCAAGCTTTGATTGATTTGAAGAGTTTGTGTATTCCAGATAACTGGGACATGAACATCCTTTTGGTCAGCCCCCAAGAGTGGGAGCAGTCTTTAAATGCTTATTTTCTTGCAGACTGACCTAAAAATAGAGCTGTGGCTCATGTTTTGTGGGGAAGATTCTCAGGCACAGCCACTTCCTTGGAGCACAATCATGCAGTTGGGTCAGCAGTGGGATTGACAGGAGCTTTCAGCATAATCCTGGCCTCAAGAGAGACCTCCAGGCTTGAGGCACAGCTTCCCTGGCAGGCTGGAGCATCCCTGGCTCAGCAGGGAAAACCACGGGTCCCCTTATGCTCTGCCAGGGTTTTTTTGGGAAATAGGGAAGTTAGAACGGAAATGACAGCAGTGCCTCCTCCTGGTGAGAGGATGGGAGCTGAGTGATTCAGACTGACACGCTGCTGTTTCAAGGGGTTCAGATCTTGCAGGGGGTGTTGTGGTGTTCTGATGGCACCTGAGCTGTGTGAGATGCCCCACAGGAGCCTCTTGTACTCACACTCCCTGCCTGGGCAGTGTTCTGGGAGCAGGAGGGGTCAGCAGAAGCTGCCCAGTACCTCTCATGCTGCTTGAGGGTTAAAAACAGATTTTTCAAAGCAATAGGATGAAACAGCAAAGGCCTGGGTGGGTGTTTCTTGCTGTTTAACCCGAAATTGGCTTTCCCAGTGTGCATTTAAGCAGCTGGTTTGAGCTTTCCCAGGTTTGTTTGGCAGCAGCTGTCACCGTGCTGCTCTGTGTGTCTGGTTTGGAATGTGCTGTGCCTGCTCTGACCCTGCCTTCCCTCCCTCCCTCCCAAGAAATACGATCCCTCAGACCCTGCCTATGCCTATGCTCAGCTGACACACGACGAGCTGATCCAGCTGGTGCTGAAGCAGAAGGACACCATCACCAGGAAGGACCTCCAGGTGCGGGAGCTCGAGGACTACATCGACAACCTGCTGGTCAGAGTCATGGAAGAAACCCCAAACATCCTCCGAGTTCCCATGGCTGGCAACAAAAAAGCTGGGAAGATGTGAAGGGTCTGGGGGTGTCGGTGGGCAAGGACTGAACCCCCCCAGGGCAGGGGGAGGAGCTGGTTGTGCTGCTCACAGAAAATGACCTTTTCCTCTTTCTGCCTTGAGCAACCCTCAGATTGATTAATAGTTCCATCAGGTGTTGTAATGAAGTCTCACCTTATTTATTTTGGTTTTTATTTTTTGGTTTCTTCCCATTATTTGGGAAGGTCAGGCATTAATCCCAAGGCTGGTTGTGATGGGAAGGAGGAGGGTTTTTGATGTGTTTTGCTTCCCAGCAAGGCACTGATGATCCTTTAGGAAGAATTTTTTAAATGGTTTTGTTTTGTAGCAGCTTTTAGAGATCAGTTACTTTCCTTTCCACATCTGAAGTTGTAGTGCAATATAAATCCTTGTACAGTAGAGCTTGAGGATTAGATTGGTTTTAAAATAATAATTAACTACACTGGAGAAGTCCAAAGATGGCCCAGCTTCAGATTGGGGCTGTAATTTAAAAGGAATTAATGCCCTGAAAGCTGACTGTAAGCTGACCAAATCTCAGTTCATCTCATCAAGTGGGCATTCCCAAGAGTCCTTCAAGGGAAGGTTTTCAGGTTTTTTGGAGTAGGAGACATTGAGGTTCACGGTACATTCCTACCATAGGAGTTCTTACCTCAATGACTTTAGGCCAAAGGTACATTTTAAATCAGAAATTGTTCTCTTAGTGTCTTAAATTTCTGCTCTGGAGGTTGTTCAGAGCAGGCAGAGGCAGCCCTGGTCTCACACCTTGTGCCCTGTGGGAGCTCAGTGACCATTTCTACGCTGCACTGAGGAATCAGAAATCCTTTGGGGTTGGGGCTCACCTTGAAGCCCTTCCAAGGTGATCAGCCCTGCACTGGGGCTCCTGCCTGAGGAAAAGCCTGTGCAGCTGAGGTGTGCTGGACAGGGCAGAGCTCCTGGGGCTCTCAGGGGTGCCTCCACCCCCTCAGGCTGCAGGAGCAGCCACCGCAGCCTCCCCCACTGCAAAGTGACCAGGGCTTGCTTTGCTGAGCCCTCGGCACAGAGCAAAACCACCAGATGCCTTCTGGGACCCCTGGGACCCAGATCTGGGATTTGCCAGGGTAGGGAGAGCCCAGGAAAGGCTTAGAGGGAAGCTGGAAAACCAGCGGAGCCCTGCAAAGGACCAAAACTTCACAAGGACCAAAGCTTAAAGCTTTCCAGCCTTAATTCTCTGGAAATAAACACTCCTACCTTGGAAATGGTTGGGTTATTGAGTCACTCCTGGCCCAGGAGTGAGTTTTTAACTCCATTTTTCTGCAGGAAAGCACTTTATTGGGGGGCTGGAGCAGCTGGATGGACTCTCACCCCGTGAGCAGTCTGCTTACAATGTCACAAACCACTGGAGGTCTCAAATGCTGCATTTTGGAGCGAGGGACAGTTTGATAGATTTGCACAGAGATGTAAACATTTATTACAAAACAATCAAAGAGATGCTGTTAATTTAATGACCTTTTTATTCCCGTTTCTTCCTGCTACCAAAGTCTGGAGCTTTAGTGGCAGAGCTGTCCCTCATGGGCAGCCTGGCCTCAAACAAGCATTAGGAGCTGAGAGTCCTGCAAGACTCCAGGTGCTTTTATCTCATGTTAGTGTTACTTGGGCAGTGAGGGTGTTCTCTGTCTGAGGGCAGGCAGCCTGGGTGGTGGTTTCATTCTGAGGGGTGCTGCTTGGCCCTGCTGGAGCTGCTGCTGCCTCCTGTGCCTCCTCGAGTGAGGAAGATGAAGGATTGATTTGTTTCCTCCTCGTGCCTCCGTGGGTCTGTGCTCACAGGATCCTGTACCTCACTGATAAACTTGTATTTTAGACTTCTTCTCCTCTGGGGGAGAGTGAGCTGCACAGAACCAAAGCAATAAATAATATTATTATTCATAAAAATAAATAATGCTCTGCTCTTAGCAGAGATGAAGCCTTAACACTTGGGCCAGCCTCTGGCAGCCTTTCTGAGCCAGTTCCAGCCGGGTGTGTTGGGGGAGCCTGAGCTGAGCAGGGCTCCTGTCCCAAAAGCCTGGCCCAGCCCTCAAACCTTGTTTTTATTAAAGCCTTCCTTTGGTGTGAGGGGACTGGCATTTACATCCTCAAGGGCCTTAAGAATCAAACCTGTTGTTTATTACTGAAGGATTAATGCATGTTTGTACTCTGCTTTTAGCCCTGGTACTGTTTGTTTTCAAACACCTCTTGGTTTTATGGAACACTAAAATAAAGACACCTTAAACCCAGATTTCTGACTGCTGTGTCTTTGTTCTGAAGGAGCAGTTTCAGATGGGCCTTGTCCCCTCCTTGTGACACTGCTCATCCTCCTCCAGGGGATGATTAAGATAAAGATTAAAAAGTTAAGATAAAGAGGATGATAAATTATCAGATAAAGACAGATTTCTGACTGCTGTGTCTTTGTTCTGAAGGAGCAGTTTCAGATGGGCCTTGTCCCCTCCTTGTGCCTCTCTGCTCATCCTCATCCTCCTCCAGGGGATGATAAGGTAAAGAATGTAAAGTTAAGATAAAGAGGATGAGGAAGTGATAAAATAAAGACACCTTAAACCCAGTTTTCTGACTGTTGTATCTTTGTTCTGAAGGAGCAGTTTCAGAAAGGCCTCGTCCCCTTCTTGTGCCTCTCTGCTCATCCTCCAGGGGATGATAAAGTTAAGATAAAGATGATAAAGTTAAGGTAAAGAGGATGATAAATTATCAGATAAAGACACCTTAAACCCAGATTTCTGACTGCTGTGTCTTTGTTCTGAAGGAGCAGTTTCAGAAAGGCCTCGTCCCCTTCTTGTGCCTCTCTGCTCATGCTCCTCCAGAGGATGATAAAGTTAAGGTAAAGAGGATGATAAATTATCAGATAAAGACACCTTAAACCCAGATTTCTGACTGCTGTGTCTTTGTTCTGAAGGAGCAGTTTCAGCAGGGCCTCGTCCCCTCCTTGTGCCTCTGCTCATCCTCATCCTCCGGGCATTCCGGGCTGGTTCCATCCCTGCCGGGAGCTTCCTGCTGAGCACCTCGCGGGGTGTGGGAACCTGCCGGACGGGCTCGTCCGCCCCTGCAGCCCCGGGAGTTCCCGTAAGCACCGCCACAGACCGGCCACAGCCCGGGAGGGGCGCTGGGCCCTCATGGCAGCGCTGGCCTCACTGCCGCGGGGCTGGCAGGAGGGGGAGGCCGTGAGGGGCGGGGTGCTTTGCGGTTCCCCGCCGAGGAGGCCGCGTTGTCCCCGGCCCCGCTCCCCCCTCGCTCCCAGCGCCGCCGCCCCCGGGGGCATCCCCGCGGAACTGGCGTGGCCGGAACGCAGCGTGCAGGGGCGCCGGCGCGGCCGGGCGGGAGTGGGGACGGACCGCGGGCAGCGCCGCTATTGGTGGGCTCGGGGCGGGCTGCGCCGCTATTGGCTGTTGGCGGTGCGCCCGCCCCGGCGCTCCCCCAGCGCGGCTGCGGCCATGGCGGCGCGGGGCCGCTGCCCCGAGTGCGGCTCGGCGTCGCTGGTGGAGGACGCGCACTACGCGCAGCAGCAGCTGGTCTGCGCCGCCTGCGGCTGCGTCCTGTCCGAGGGGCTGCTCACCACCACCTACACCGACGAGGAGCATCTGCGGGGTGCGGCACCGCGCTCGGGGTGGGGGGCGCAGGACCGACGGTGCGCAGCTCGTGTGGGCCGCTCCGAGCCGGCCCGAGAAGCGAAGCGCTCCCCGAGCTGTGTCTCGGAGTGCCCCCAGAGCCATGCCAGCACTGTCCCCCGCCTCCATCCCCCCAAACACCGGCGGGGTTTTCCATCCCGGGCACACCCGCGGCATTTCCCGGTCAGGGTTTGGCTTGGAGCCGGTGATGAGATTTAAATTTAAACTGGGGGATCGCTTATTGTTAAAATACACGGTTAAAATCGCATTGAAATCTCTTAGAAGAGCTTTAAGTGCAGCAGAGCCTGGCTCTGGCTCAGAGGAGACCCAAGAGCTCCTTTTCCCCTGGGCTGCTCTCACTCAGCGCCCTCAAAGGAGCTTTAAGTGCAGCAGAGCCTGGCTCTGTCTGGAGGGGATCCCCGGCTCAGAGGAGATCCAAGAGCTCCTTTTCCCCTGTGCTGCTCTCACTCAGCGCCCTCAAACAGCTCTGATTGCTGCAGCCCGGTTCCGTGGGCACCTGCTGGCCCCAGATCCCCGTGCCCGGATTCCCTGCAGCACTGACTGACCCCCCTGTTTTCCAGAGGTCGCCTATTCCCAGAGCACTGGCCAGAAGGAGCAGCTGAGCCGCTGCCTGCAGCGAGGTGAGAGCACCCCCTCCTCCCTGCCTGCCTCTGCAGCTTGTTTCACCTGGTTCTGATGGTGACAAAGGGCCCAAAACCCCTGGAGCTGAGCCTGGTGCTGCATCCAGCACCTGCCCTGAGGGGCTCCAGTGCTGGGCAGGGCTGGGTGAGCGCTGCCTGCTTTTGTCCTTTTGTGTTGATTCAGTTCATCCTTCAGGGAAGCTTTCTTTATAATATAATTGTGGTGACCCGAGGGGGCATTCCCTGGTCTAGGGAGACACAAGAAGCTTGCCTCAAAAAGCTGTCAGACCCCACTGGCTCCTTCCCCTGTTCCTCCATCCCTGAGCCATGCTGTCAGACCCCACTGGCTCCTTCCCCTGTTCCTACATCCCTGAGCCACTCCTTCCCTATTCCCTGATTAACCCTCACCTTTGTACTGCCCTGAGAGCAGGGTCAGCCCCTGCCCCTGCAGAGAGAAAGTGTGTGTGTGAGTGCTGAAATCTCAGGGCAGAGCTGAATAAAACATCTGTGCATATCATGCACAAGCCCTTTTGGCTTGCTGGGCTGTGCTGGCAGCAGTTCAGCCTGCTACAAACGCCTCTGAGCAGAAATTCCTCTCTCCCCGCAGGGATCCGGCGGGTCCAGGACCTCTGCAAGGTGCTGCAGCTGCCAGCCACCTTCGAGGAGACGGCTGTGTCCTACTTCCAGAGGGCCCTGCAGCTCCCTGCCTTCCACCTGGTCAGCCTGGAGAAGAAGGAGCTGCTGGGGGGCTGCTGTGTGCTGGTGACGTGCCGGCAGCACCGCTGGCCCCTGACCATGGGCACCGTGTGCTCCCTGCTCTACGCCAAGCAGGAGCTGTTTGCCAGCGTCTTCCTGAGCCTGCAGAAGGAGCTGGGGCTCTCAGTGCCCGCCCTGAGCCTGGCAGACCTGGTGACAACACACCTGAGCAGGTGATGGGGCCCTGGCATGCTGGTCCTGGCTGGGTGAGGGGCTGGGGGGTGACACTGGGCTGGTTTTGTCCCTCCCGTGTCACACCTGGGCTGTGATTCTCTCATCCTGCCCCATTCTCAGCTTGGAGAGGGCACAGAGGTGCTCAGGGAGGCACCATGGGTCACGGGATCCCAGATCTCTGAGGTTGGAAAAGATCTCTGAGGCTGTCCAGTCCAAGCTGTGCCCGATGCCCACCCTGGCACCCAGCCCGGAGCACTGAGTGGGGACTCCACCCCTCCCTGGCAGCAATTCCAGTGCCTGGGAACCCTTTCCATAAGGAAACTCCTCCTGGTGCCCACGAGCAGCAGCATGGCAGGGGCAGGGTGTGTCCTGTATTTGCTGGGTTCCCAAAGTGAGGAATGATGAGTCTGACTCCATGTTCTTAGACGGCGAATTTATTATTTTATGATCTAGATTATATTAAAGAATGCTGTACTAAACTACTAAAGAATACAGAAAGGATGCAGATAGGAGGCTAAAGAGATAATAATGAAAACTCTTGCCTCTCTCCTCAGAGTCTGACACAGCTTGGCCATCATTGCCCAAACAATTCACATGAAACCAATCAAACAATCACCTACCACATTCCAAAGCAGCAAAACACAGGAAAAGCAACGAGATAATATTTCCCTTTTCCTCTGAGGCTTCTCAGCTTCCCAGGAGAGAAATCCTGCTGAATGATTTTCCCAGAAAACACGACACTGACAGGTGTGTGTGACAGGTCCCCGAGGCTCCCCCTGACTTTGACTCTTTCCCCCGCAGCTTCCGGCTGGTGCAGCCCACAGCCAGCGTCCCTGCGCCCTTCCTGGAGGACAAGGACAAGCTGCTGGCCAGGACCATGGCCATAGTGGAGCTGGCCAGCGAGACGTGGCTGGTGACGGGCCGGCACCCGGTGCCCGTGGTGACGGCCGCGGCGTTCCTGGCCTGGCAGTCGCTGCGGCCCGGCCCGCGCCTCTGCTGCCCCTTGGCACGGTTCTGCCGCCTGGCAGGGGTGGAGCTGCCCCCCCCGGCCCGCCTCAGGCTGAGGGAGCTGCTGGAGATCCTGCTGGGAATGGCCTCCCAGCTCTCCTGGCTGCGAGCCTTCCGCCTGGACAAGAAGACGGTGGTGAAGCACATCGGGGACCTGCTGCAGCACCGGCTGTTCCTGCTGAAACGCGCCTTCAGCCAGCACGACGGGCAGGAGCAGGACGTGGGCCTGGGCTCTGGGAGCCAGGGGTGCCAGGGCTCTGGGAGCCAGGACTGCCTAGGCCAGGATTCTGTGAGCCTGGGCTCTCTGGATAAGGATTCCCCAGGCCAGGGCTCTCTGAGCCAGGGCTCCCTGGATGAGGGCTCTGTGAATAAAGATTCCCCCAGCCAGGGATGCCCAGGCCGGAATTCTGTGAGCCTGGGCTCCCTGGATAAGGATTCCCCAGGCCAGGACTGCCCAGGCCAGAACTCTGTGAACCAGGGCTGCCTGGGCAAGGACTCTGTGAGCCAGGGCTGCCCAGGACAGGGCTCTGTGGACCCAGGCTCTCTGGATAAGGACTCCCCAAGCCAGGGCTCCCTGGATAAGGACTCTGTGAATAAGGACTCCCCAGGCCAGGACTCTCCCGGCCAGAGCAGCCCAGCTCAGGGCTGTGTGAGCCAGGGCTCCCTGAATAAGGACTTCCCTGGCCAGAGCTGCCCAGGACAGGGCTCTGTGAGCCAGGGCTCCCTGGATAAGGACTCCCCTGGCCAGAGCTGCTCAGGACAGGGCTCTGTGAGCCAGGGCTCCCTGAATAAGGACTCCCCTGGCCCGAGCTGCCCAGGACAGGGCTCTGTGAGCCAGGGCTCCCTGGATAAGGACTCCCCAAGCCAGAGCTGCCCAGGCCAGGCTCCCCCCACCTCTCCTGCGCTGGCACAGCAGCGGGGCAGTCCCTGGGTGGGGAAGCAGCAGCGTGGGGGCCCCCTGAGGCCCCTGCTGCCCCCCTGCCTCATCCACCCCAGGAAGAGGCCGCGGGCAGCTCCGAGCGCCGCGGCCGCGGCCGTGACGGGCGACGAGCCCATCTCAGACAGCGAGATCGAGCAGTACCTGCGCAGCCCCGAGGAGATCCGCGCCCTCAGCAGGGCCCAGGCCTGGCTCTGAGGGTGGCCCTGGCCCAGAGGGACGATTTGGGGACCAGAAGTGTGGACCCCAGCAGGGACAGAGTGACTGTGCTGCAGGGGGCAGGGAATGAGGCTGTGGGGAGGGAGCTGCGTCCTCCTTAATGTGCTGGACCAAAATGGGGCTTTGGATGGAGTGACTGCTTCAGGTCGTGTTACATTTCTGTTTTAAGTAAATAAAAGTGCAGGTGCCAGGTTTTCCAGGGCAGCCTCACCTTGGACTTCTCATTCTTCAGCAGAATGACTTTGTGAGGGTCACAAAACTGCAGACCAGGCTGCATTTGAGCATGAAGCCTGAGAGAAATCACAGTAGATCTTGGCAGATTGGCATATCTTTAATATATTAAACAAAACATATCTGCTAGAAACATTCTATTCATATAAAAATGCAAAAAGACCCCTTTAAAGACATTTCTTTGGCATATTTCCCTCCCCTCCCCCCGGATATTGCAGGAAGCTCTGTTGATATGTCATTCGCTTGTAAACAGACAAAGTGTAATTAAGAATACAAAGCTTTTTCTCTAATACTGTCACAATGCAGCAAGCAATAGAACCACGGGGCATCAGCCAGGCTGGGGAGGCTGCAGGAGCTGCAGCAAGGGTTTAAACTGTGTTAAACACCAGGGACAATGAAATATTTCAACATTTAACTGGGCAGAGAAGCCGAGGCAGGCAGGGAGTGGCAGGTTAAGCCCAGGGGTGCCCCAGCCCCGTGGGGTGAGTGGTTCCCAGGTGAGACCAGTCCCCACTAAGTGCTTTTTCCTCCCCTGGCTCGTGGCCCTGCCAGCCCCACGACCCCTCGGAGGTAGCTACGTTACAAAACTCATTTGCAGGCGGGGGAAAGTGAGGCAGGGGAGGCTGGAAAGGGCAGGGGAGGCACCAGGCTCCCACCTTCCTTCTCTGCTTTGCTGCAGCCTCTCTGCAGCCTGGCTGTTTTACCTGTGTGCTGGGAAAAAGGGGAGATTTGTTTTTCAATGGGAACAATAAGTGCTTATCCAGGTTCCAGCCCTTTGACAGTCCAAGGAAGGGCTCGAATTCCTTGGCATCATTCTCTTGCATTCCCAGGAATGGTCCCTGCTCCCCAGAATGGTCTCTGCCTTCTTAAGAGCAAACCTAGGTATTTTGTGAGCTTGAAGCCTGGATTAAGGACACAGAGCTGCTCTGGGCCTCTCTCACATCTTGGTTCTTTGGTGCTTTGGCACAGAGGGTCAGTCCTGGCAGCAGCAAGGTCTGCCAGCCCACCCCAGTGCATGGCTTGAGCCTCTGAGGGCCTGGGAGCATTTTCTGACCGAATTTAGTGTCTGGAGCCTTTTCTGGCCCTTATTTTAGTGTCTGGCATTAAAGCAGTGCAGACAATCACCTCACCTCGGAGCTGAGGCTCCTCTTACCTTGTGCTTGGCTTTGCAATATGGCTTTGGCAGCAGGCAGCCCGCGCAGCTGGCACAGCTGGGGACGTTCCAGAGGGAGCAGCTGCCCTCCAGAGGCAGCGTGCTCAGGCTGGGGCTGCGCTGCCTGGACGTGAAGGGCACTTGGAGTGGTCCCTCGGCGGGAATATTGCAGTCGTGGCACGGGAGGGGGCCCTCGTGCCACCTACGGCTCTGTCTATACATATATACATTCAATAATATAGCTTTGAAAAATAGACGTTTCCTCTGTAGAATATAAAATAGCATTTAGGATCAATCTCAAGTGACATGCGGGAGTGATTAAAGCACGGCTGCAATTCCGCCACCGCGGCGGGAAGCTCCGAGCCTCCTCGGGGAGATGGGTGGGCCCGGCATCGTGCTGTGCCCGGGGGCACCGGAGCCCCCGGCCGTGCCGCCCATCCCCGCTAGTGCACCGGGTGATGCTCCCCGAGGAAAACGCTGCGGCCGTCGGTCCTTCGCCACCCTCACACGGTGGTTTCGCTCTTCCACAGGCCGGTCTTCATGCCGGCCGCGCTGTCGCCGCTGGCCAGGTTGATGTCGTACTTGCTGCCCTTGAGGCCGCCGTTGTGGCTGCCCACGTTCAGCGGGTACGAGCGCCGCTTCGCCTCCCTCTCGCAGCTCGTCCCGGGCCGCAGGTTGTCCCGGCTGCCGCTCCTCCGGCGAGCCTCGGCCACGTCGGGCACCCTCCGCCCGCCGTCGCTGCCCTCCGAGGGGCTGGGGGCCGCGTCCCCGTCGTGCGGCACCCTGGCCGGGCTGGTCCTGCCGCTGGGGTAGCTCTCGGAGTGGCTGTTGTGGAGGCTGCCGCTCTCGCTGGACGGGTGCTCCGAGGATCCCCGCAGCATTTTCAAGCGGTGGTGCTTCCCGTCCCGGCACGGCTTAGTTCTGCCCCGGTGGCTCCGGCGGCCGTGCAGGTTGCTGTTGTGCCTGGCGGGCTTCCCGTCGGCAGCGTCCGGCTCCGGGCAGGGCGCCGGCCGCGGCTCCGCCTGGCTCTGGGCTACCTGCAGGTTGGTGAGCTTGCAGCGGCCCCCGGCAGAGCCGGCGCTGCTGGGCGAGGAGGAGGAGGAGGCGCCGGAGCGAGCGGCCTCCGGCTCGCAGCCGATGAAGACCTGCGAGCCGTCCTCCGGCCCCAGCCCGGCGTGCACGTACGCCTGCATGGGCAGCGCGTTCCGGTACGACGGGCAGCACGAGAACCAGGAGCTGAGCACGTCCCGGCGCCGCAGGCAGTGATGGGTGAAGATGAAGAGCCCCAGCGCCACGGCGGTGACGCCGTAGAGGCAGCTGAAGACGATGCTCAGGTACCAGCGCTGGGACACGGCCATGGCGCCGAACGTCCACAGGGCCACGTAGAGGGCGTGGGTGGCCAGCAGCGCCCAGAACTGCACCCGCAGCGAGTACACACCGTCCCCCTCGGGGCAGGGCGGCCCCGAGTTCAGCGTCACCGAGATGGAGCCGGAGTCCGTCAGGAGGTCGCCGGTGGCCCCCAGCCGCGGCGGGGGCTCCAGCGGCTCCGGGAGCTCTTTCTGCTGCGAGGGTCGGCACTGGAGGCTGAGCCCGGCGCAGAGGAAATAAATCCAGGTGACGAGCAGGATGAAAGCCACGGGGACGTAGAAGGCGCCCAGGCTGGGCCGCCACACCAGCCAGCAGCTGTGCGGGAGGAGAGGGGCTCTGAGGGGCCGTGGCCGGAGCTGCTCGGCACCCCTGCCCTCTGTGAAGCTGTGCCGGCTGCCTGCGTGATTTTTTCCCCCAGTATATTGATAATTCTCAGGAAAAACCTCACTGACCTCTTCCCAAACTTCTCCAGATTCCCAGCGCCACCAGTCCCCTGCCCCAGCAGAGGGAGGCCACCCCACGTGGGAGGGAGGAAAGGTGGAGCAGGGACACTTACTAGGGGTTGTTGTCGTGGTAGTTTTGGATGTTGACAGCTGCTGTGACCCCACAGATGATGAGGGGGATCCCGCCAGCGATCAGGTAGAACCTGCAGGGAGAGGGGGGAAGTGTCACCGCACACCTGGAGCCCTCGGGAGAGCACGGGATGGGCTCCCGCAGAGCAGCAATCCCTGCCCCTGGAGGTGCCCCGAGGGCCCGGGGCAGGGGGAAGGGGGGCTCATACCGCAGCATGGGTCTGGGGGCTGCCTGGGACGTGTCCCTGTCCGGCTGCTGTGGCGCCTTCCAGCTCAGCTCCTTGTAGAGCACTCGGGCTTTCACCGCCATCCAGAGCAGCGTGGAGAGGGACGAGTAGTGCAAGATGATGCCGACCTGCGGGAGTGAACAAACGTGTTTCCTGGGCTGTCGGGGTCCAATCTGGCTAGCTACAGACCCTTGCACCCACGATACTTCATAGACAATGGTAAAAGATTAGAGAAGTGCTCTCCTCCACGTGGGAAATGTTGTCCTTTATTGCAAGACATGCATCAGGCGGACAAACCCATGGGAGAAAAGAGAGCGTTCCCTGGCAGCAGGGAGCTTTTATACCCCGGGATGGGGACAGAGGGAGAGGCCCACAGGCAATGGGACACAGTGAGGAGTGGTGAGGGGAGGGGTAACCCAGGGGAGAGACCACCAGGGGGTACTGGGATGGGGAAACGGGGTAACAAGCCACATAATATAAGCTACACAGTGCAATACAAAACTATTCCCAAATAGCTGCAAATTCCCAATCACCCAGCGCAAGAGAACAACTAAACTGGTGCACCACAACATGGGAGGAGGCGGCGGCTGGGCAGGGGAAGCTGCAGCCCCCCGGTGCCCGTCCCGCAGCAGCCCGCGGCGCTGCCCGGTACCCACGGCCTGGCACACGGCCCGGTAGCCGGTGAGGGTGATGCCTCCCGCGAAGACGGCGGCCGTCATGGCGATGTGGAAGCACAGGTTAAGCAGCATGTGCCAGCCCTTCCGCGGGATGAGGATGGTGCTGCAAGAGCAAGAGCACAGCGGGCACCTGTGAGCTCCTGCCCGGCCCCGGGAGAGACACAAACCCTGCCCGTCCCTGGCCACGGAGCGTGCCTGGAGGAGATGTCCTGCACAAAGGAACGTGTCCAGGCACCTCCTGGGGAAAGAACCAGGACCCAGGGTCACTCACGGGGCAGCACGTTCCCTGAGAATGTGCGAGAATGTGCTCCTCACTCTCCTGAGCACCCTGTCCTAAAGGGCCGTGTCACTGCACGGCCATGCCCGTTCAACTTTCCAGGCTGTTGGCACCTGGGGAGCTGCTCCTGCTGCCCACAGAGACCCAGCCCAGCCCAGCCCAGCCCAGCCCGGCCCAGCCCGGCCCCCAAGCAGCAGCACAGGCACTGGACACCCCCTCACCCGTGGTGAACGATGTAGGTGATGATGGTGGTGAAGAGGCAGAGCAGCAGCACGGCCGTGCAGGTGTACATGGCCGGGTGCAGCACCTCCACAGCGCCTTGCGCCTCACTGGGGAACCCGCTGAGCTCCTGCACAGCACAGCACAACCCGTCAGACCCCACAGCAGCAGCAGCATGTGCCCCTGACCCCCCCACCACCCTCCTGCTGCCCCCCACGCCCCCTGCCCTGGCAACGCTCCCTCCCTGCTGCTCGCCCACACCTACCATGAGCACGGCCACGTTGCTGAGGTGCCGGCAGTGCAGGGAGGTGACGTTGGGCTCGCGGGAGGCCAGCTGGCACCCCTCGGCGCTCCAGCCCCCCATGCCCCCCAGCACCTCGAAGTTCCAGTAGGCAGCCACGGGGTCCGTGCCCTCCCCGGGGTGTCGCAGGGACACGGCCACTGGCTCCGACAGGTTCCCCACTCCACAGCCATCTGCAGCCACAGAAAACCCGGTCGGCAGGACAAGTGACACCTCTCCACCTGCACCCCCAGAGGGGCTGGGCACAGGGGACATCCCACAGGCACAATGCCACCTCCCCGTGAGGACCCTGGGGGTGGCTCTGCACTGCGGGAGAACCAGCCCAATGCCCCAGGGAGCCCCACGGGGCACCCCAAGCTGCCCTTACAATGCCCCAGGGAGCCCCACGGGGCACCCCAAGCCCCCCACCACGCTGCCCTTACAGGTCCCAGCGTAGATGACTGGCGTGGCCACGCTGCGGCGCTTGCCATCGTCGGCCAGGCGGGAGGAGTTCCCGGTGCTGCAGAAGAGTTTCCCGTTGCGGAAGACCAGCAGCTGGAGCTTGCAGTCGGCCCCCGGCGGGGCCGGGGCGGGGCTGGCGAACAGGCTGGGCGGCAGCTGGATGGAGGCCAGGGCGATGCTGTTCTGCGGGTGCAGGTCACGGGTGAGCGGGGCCCGACCCCAGCGCCCCCCGGCCCCCGGCGCTGCCGTACCTTGATGTGGAAGCTGGTCAGGGAGATGTTGGGGCGCCCCGTGGTGCAGCGCAGCCTGAGCTGCTGGTCTGGGGAGGGCTCGGCCCCCCGCTCGGCCTGGGGGGCCCGTCCTGGGGGGGTCCCAGTGCCATCCCACCGCTGGAAGGCCACGCAGCTCAGCCCCACGTAGCTCTCGGGCTTCACCACGTACGCCTCGAAGGCGATGTTGCGAGAGTTCTGCCAGCACCACGGCGGGATCATCAGCCCTGGCACGGGCACAGACCCCACTGGCATGGCCAGAGAGCCCACCCAGCCCTCCTCCCCAAAGCCAGCCTCACCACTGCCATGTGCTGGGAGTTGCTGCCCAGCGTGTGGGCCGCGATCCTCTCCAGGGAGCGCACGATGCTGCTGCAGGCCTTCTCCTCCTTCTGGGACATCCACAGGATGTGGTCGTCCACCAGCATGATGTTGCTGGCCATCTCCACGATCACGTCTGTCAGCTGGGGACAGCAAGCAGCTCTGCAAAGAGCTACCGCCGTCCCCCAAGGAAACACCCCAATTCTTGCTTTTCTGCCCCAAAAACACCAGGCTGCACTGGGGCAGGCAGGGGACACCTGCAGCGCTCATTACCTGCTTGATCTGGTCCACGTAGCCGATAAACTTCTCTATCATCTGGGCCACGTAGAGGACATCAACCATATCTGAGAAGTTGGCTGCCTCGGCCGTGTAGACGCGGAGCTGGTGAGCCAGGGTCAGGGCGTTGGAGGCATTGATGGGCATCTGCAGGGCGGCACGGCCACGGTCACCAGCTGGGCTCCCTCCGGCCCAGCCGAGCCCCCCGGGCCGCCCACTCACCAGCACGAAGGTGTAGAGCACGCGGGTGATGTCGTTGGTGTAGAGGCAGTGGGAGTAGTCGCCGTCCTCCCAGCGCCCGCTGCGGTCACAGCGCCGCCACGCCTGCTTCTCGCCCGCCGAGCCCACGCCCGCCGGGCCCGCGGCGAACGGGTGCTGCAGGCAGGGCTGGAAGGCCGTGATCCCCGCCAGGGTGCGGGGCCACCTGCGGGAAAACACACACGGTGACCCCCTGCAGCCCCCTCTGCAAGCCGCTGCCGCCCTGGGCTCTGGGGGGGCTGGCGTGGTGCTCCCCCAGAAACCCCCACCCTCTCCAGCCCTGCATCCCGCTGGGCTCCGGCAGCGCGGGGGGAAGCAGCGGGCAGCGGGGGGCACGGCTAATTTAAGCCACATTGGCTGTGCCAGTAATTTATATTCCGTAAGGGCCCCGCCGGGGTTACGGCGGGCGCCCGGAGCCTTTCGTCTCGTGCCAGAGAAATTCCAACACCTCTGCTGCTGGAGCCAGGCTGCGCCGCCGGCACGGGAAGCCCTTCAAAAGCCGTGCCGATAATCGCTACCAGACGCGCGGTCACCTGCGGCGAGCAGAGGCCCCGCACGCACCACCTGCTCTCTGTGTGTCCCCACCTGAAGTCCCCGCGGTTGTTGGTGACCCGCTCGGCAGGGCAGTAGGATGCTGAGGTCTCCAGCACCACGATCTCCACCTTCTTGCTGACGTTGCCCTGCGAGGTGGAGACGGCGCATTCCCACTCGCCGTTGGCGGAGACGTGGATGTTGGAGAGGATGAGCTCGCTGCGGGCACAGGAGAGGGGCTGGCACGGCTGGCACGGCTGGAACTTCACAGCGATCCCCCAGGCGTGGGGACAGGGGGACGTGGGCCATGAAGCACCAAAGGTGCCCACACTCGACACCTGGTACTCACACACCCGTGAGTCCTGTGGCCACGAGTGGTCCTCTCCATCCCTATCTCTGTCCCCATCTCCATCCCAATTCCATCTCCCCCTCCATCCCAATTCCATCTCCATCCCAGTCCCAATTCCATCTCCATCTCCATCCCAATTCCACCTCCATCCCAATTCCATCTCCATCCCAGTCCCGATCCCATCCCCATTCCCACCCCCGACCTGGTGATGAAGGTGCAGTCATGGATGAGACTCTCCTCCACGATCACGCCCGTCTGCTCATCCTCCCGCACGGGCTCGCGGTTGTGGAACCAGTGGATCTGGGTGCTGTTGTCCAGGTACGTGGCCGTGCACTGGAAGGGCAGCCGGTCTCCCTGGAAAACCACCTGGCGCAGCGACGGGATGAGGTGGTGGGTGTGCAGCTCCGGGGCTCCCGCTGCGGGGGACACAGGTGAGCCCGCGCCGCCGCCGCCGCCGCCGCCCCGGGGCTCCGGCCGCCGGGTTTCCTCCATGCTCGGCTCCCCGGGGCGGCTGATTGATCTGGATCAGGAATATTCCGGCGGCGCCTCAGCGAGGACCGCCGCCCCGGCCCCGGCTCACCGCAGCGGAGCTGCCCGTCCCGCGCCCCTCGCAGGGCCACGCCGCGGAGCTGCCGGGGGAAGGAGCACGCCGTCCGCTCCGAGAGCTGCGCCGCCCGCTCGCGGGCCCAGCGCAGCACCCAGCGCAGGTTGCAGTCGCACGTCAGGTACTCGGTGGCGAAGTCGCTGCAAGGGATGGTGTCACCGCAGGGCTGGGGCTCCCGCCGACCCTGAGACCCTCGGCAGGGACCCCCCTCCCCGGGTGTGAAATCCCAGGGCGCCAACTCACACGACTTTCAGAGAGGGGAGCTCGTCAAAAACACCGGGCGGGAGGCTGGAGAAGATGTTTCCGGACATGTTCCTGCAGGACAGGAGAGAAAGAGGGCATGGAGGGGGCCAGGGAGCTGCCAGGCCCCTCGCTGTGCCCGCACACCCCCTCGCTCTCAGGACAGGGGACAGGGCTGGCCAGGATGTCCCCAGGGAGCCACTTACAGTCGGAGGAGGCTGGGCAGGCCCTGGAAGACGCTGGCGCTCAGGCAGCCGATGCGGTTGTTGGACAGGTCCCTGCGAGGGGAGTGCAGGGGCCATCAGGGCTGCCCATGCCCCACTGTCCCCAGTGTTGTCCCCAGTGTTGTCCCCACGGGGTGCAAGGGCTGCACGGGCACTTACAGCCGCTTCAGCTCGGGCAGGCCGAGGAAGGCGCCTGGCTGGACCGTGCTGATCAGATTGTTCTTCAGGTCCCTGTGGGGAGACAGACCCGGCTCTGGGGGTGTGCTGCGGGGAGCCCCATCTCCGGGAGACACAGCGCCGGGGGCACCAGCACACCGCTCTGCCCCCATCCCCTCCAGGACCCCCAGGCGCTGCCCACCCCCTGTGGGGGCCTCTTGAGCAGCTTTCCATCCCGTTTCTCTCGTTATCTCTCCGAGGGATGGAGGGGAGGAGCATCCCGGGGGGATGCCAGCCCCTGGGCACACTCTGCGGAGCATTGGTGTCCCCACAGCCTGGCGCTGGCTGCTGGCACCGGCCCCGCATTGTTTCCGGAGCAGCCGCGTCCCGGCGGCTTATCTCCAGTGTGCGGGATAAGAGCACGGCCCAGACAGCTCGTTTGAGCAATTAGCTTGATTGCAGGCGCACATCTAATCAGGGGCTCGCCTGGCACACACTCTGCAGGAGCGCTGGTGGCACCGGCTGCCCTGCCAGCCCCTGGGACCCGCGGCAACTTCTGCCGAGCCCCGGCGCTGTCCGGGAGAGGAAATGGGATCCATACGGATCCGTGTTTATTTATAGCAGCCCCCGCGGAGCTCCTCGCTGGCTCTCCCGCTGCTCTGGGGACACCCCGTGAGCCACAGCCCCCCACAAACCAGCGGCCGGGATGAGAGCGGTGCGACCCCCTCCAGCAGAGCCGGGGTGCGAGGTGGGGGTGTCCCCTCACGAGAGGGGTCCCTCGGCTCATCCCGGCCCTCTCGGCTGCTGCAGGAGCACGGCTGCCGCTGCCGGCGCTGCTGACGGACAGACAGACGCCCGTCCTGGCAGCCGCCAGGTGCGCGCAGGTGAGCGCTGGTGCTGAAGGAACAGCTCCGCTCACCTGCCCCGCCACCTGCACCGGCAGGAGTCCCCTTGCCACCAACACCCCGCGAATCCCGGTCCTGCGAGCCCCCCCGGCTGGTGCCCAGCGCCCCCAGCGCTGCCAGCCCCCCGCCCAGCTGAAACCCAGGGACCCCCAGCACACCCTGCCGGCCAAAACGCAGCTCCAGCGACAAAGCTGCGGCCCCTGGCTCAGGTCTGGGGGGGTGTCTGGGTGCTGCAGGGACCACCAGGCGGGGGTGGGACCGAGCTGGGCCCCAGGGCTTTGCAGCCAGCCTGGCGCTCGGCCTTCCCCACTCCGGCACTTCCTCCCGCGGGCGGGGGCTGCTGCTGCTGATTTCCGATAAGGCTCCTCTTTTCCCTGCTCTGCGCCCTTGCCTTTGCATTTCCTGCGGTCCCGAGCCCCCTCCTCCCTCAGCCAGCAGTGGCTCAGTGCCACGAGTGCACGGCGACACCCCAGCGCCACACGGGCGTGGGGACCCCAATCACCTCGAGGGCACAGAGACCCCCCCACTGCAGCAAACCCCGAGGACCTGAGCCATCCTGTGGGCTGCGAGCCCTCAACTCCCTGTGCAGCCCGGCACGGACAGACGGATGGACGGACAGAGCCCATCCCCGTCCCTGCTGTCACCCTCCGAGCCCCCTCGCGTCCCCCCAGGGCCGTTCCCGAGCGGCGCTCTGCTAATGAGCCGCCGCCGCATACCGTCCCCGCTCAGACTCATTAATCTCATTAGGCCGCTACAAATCACTGCAGATGCCAAGCCGGGGGGAGGCGGCCCGTGGGGGCACCCCTGACACCCAGGGATGGATGTCATCTCCCATCTCCCCGCTCTGCTGGGACCCCAAAGCTGCTCGGGTGGGTGCCAGGGTGGGCAGAAGCCCTGCCAGCCCCAGGCTGGGAGGCGAGGGGCCCCGCAGCCCCCACGGTGTCCCGGTGCCAGCACGGGCTCTCCGTGGGCCACGTCTGCGCCACGGCCCCGAAGCGACCCGAGGAAAACAATTATGGCTCCTGTCGAGGGCAATGAGGCGCGATGGGGCCGGCAGGGCTGGGGGAGCGCCCCAGGGCCCCCTGAGCCCGGGCTGAGCAGGAGGTGACCCGGGGCAGCTGCTCTGCCAGGACATGGAGAGCTTTAGGGGCACCCCGGGCTCACGGGGGCTGCTCCTCCCCGTGTCCCACCATCCCTGCTGCTCACAAGGATGCCCGGAGCAGGAGGTGACCCCACACCCTGAGCCCTGCTCCTCCCCTGGTGTCCCCCCGGGTGCTCCTCCCCGTGTCCCACCATCCCTCCCACTCAGTGCCCGGAGCAGGAGGTGACCCCACACCCTGAGCCCTGCTGGGGAGGGCTCAGCTACGTGGGATGGGACCCCAAAAACGGTCCCGTGGGGGTTCCCAGGGGAGCCCACAGAGCGCAGGAATGCGTGAGACCCTCGCGGGGCCGCGGCGGGGAACAAAACACCCTCAGTGCCGGTCCCCGCGCCTGCATACCTACAGATCAAACCCATATGGGGGCCATAAATCTGCCCTGCTCGCTGCTCCCTCCATAGAGATGCCTTTCATGGAGAGATAAGAAAGTTGACTTTGTTCGGGGGGACAATGTCTCTTTTCATACCGGCCCTCACGGAGGGACCCCCCCGGCGCCTCCCGCCCCACTGCAGCTCCCGGGGTCCCCGCGATGCCCGGGGGTGCCAGCGGCAAATCCTGTGCTGCAGCACATCGGGGGCACAACTCGAGTGATGGTGCTCCCGCCCACCGTGGAAGCCCAGCCTGCCCTGCCCTGCCCGAGCCCCACTCACAGCTTCTCCAGAGCCCGCAGCCCGAAGAAGGAGCCGTTCTCCAGCACCGTGATCTTGTTGTTGCTCAGCAGCCTGCGGGGAGAGCAGAGGGAGAGGGGCGGCCCCGTCACCTCACTGCCACAGCCCCCCAGCCGTGCCCTGGTGGCCCGGGGGCTGGCAGGAGGACAGGCAGACCCCCACGGCCCTGGCTGTGCCACCGCGGTGGTGGCCACGGAGGTGTCCCCGCCAGGGACAGGTGGGAACAGGGAGCAATGGCCACGTGGGGATGCAGGAGCCGTGTTAGGATGCTCCAGGGATGCAGGAGCCATGCAGGATGCTCTAGGGATGCAGGAGCCGTGTTGGGATGCTCCAGGGATGCAGGAGCCATGCAAGATGCTCTAAGGATGCAGGAGCCATGCAGGATGCCCTAGGGATGCAGGAGCCATGCAGGATGCTCCAGGGATGCAGGAGCCATGCAGGATGCCCTAGGGATGCAGGAGCCGTGCCGGGATGCTCTGCGTGGTCCTCACGCCATGGACCACACTGACTGCCACCCGTGCTGGCTCTTGGGGCATCTCCTTAGCGCCAGGAAGTGACCCCCACCCCACGCCAAGGGGGCACCCCGAGGATCTGCAGCTGCAAGGGGCCCCCCAGCTCGTGATGGTCATTGTGGCTATCCCGGGAGCCTCCCAGCAGTGAGATTTTACCCCAAAAACCCTAGCTCTGCTGACCAAAGGGCCCCTTGCGGGGTGACGGGAATGGACAGAGGGCACCAGCACGCGGCGATTCAGCCAGGAGCTCATTAAAGCTCTTTAGCCCAATTAGCAGAGCCAGACCCGGCCCTCGGGGACCAGCGCTGCCTCCCCGGAATTCCCGTGCGAGCAGCGGCGACGCCAGCGCCGGCAAAGCCACCCGGAGCCGGAGCGGGGGCAGGGGCCGGGAGTGCATCCTGGAGGCCTGGCCGGGGGAGCCGCTGGAAAAAGGGCTCTTTGAGGGCCGGGCCGGGCTGTTTACACACGGCGGGCCCGGCTGAAAGGCCGCTGTGTGCTGCCGCCCGGCCCCTCCGGACGCGCTGCCCCGGAGCCGCCGCCGCGCTCGGCCGGGGCAGGAGCGGCAGCGGCGCTGGGAGGGAAGGGCCGGGCTCTGGCGGCGCAGCCCCCGCATCCTGTGCTAATGAGGAGCCGCCACCGGGCACCGGAGTGTCCGCGGGGCCCCGGAGCGGCCGGCGGGGAGCGGAAACCCGGCGGCTGCAAATTGCTTCCACACGGCCGGAGCGGCCGTGCCTGGCCCTCTCCTCCCCGCCGGCATCACTCTCGGCCCAGGACCCTTCCCAGGGCAGGGCGCAGCTTCCAGGGATGGTTCCGTGGCTCCGGGCGCGGCCCCGGCAGCCCCAGTCCCCGCCACGGCATCGGTGGGGGCTGTCGCTCAAGGCCGAGCTGTCCCAGAGGTTTTCACTCCAGCGGGAGGAGATTTCACAACCAAAAGCAGGGGCTGTGCTGGGGATGCAGCCGCGGCCGTGGGGGCAGAAACCCGGACCCAGAGCCCCAGACCCGCAGCCCTCGGCCGAGCCCCGGGGAGGCTCAACCAGACCCGGGGAGGCTCAATCAGACCCGGGGAGGCTCAATCAGACCCGGGGAGGCTCAATCAGACCCCGGGGAGGCTCAATCAGACCCCGGGGAGGCTCAATCAGACCCCAGGGAGGCTCGCTCGGACCCGGGGAGGCTCAATCAGACCCCAGGGAGGCTCAATCAGACCCCGGGGAGGCTCAGTCAGACCCCGGAGAGGCTCAATCAGACCCCAGGGAGGCTCAATCAGACCCCGGGGAGGCTCAATCAGACCCCCGGGACCATCCACCCTGTGCCATACCACCACAGCTCCCGCCTTAAAGGATTTCCAGCAGGATCGGCTGCCCCTGGGATCTGCAGCCCTACCCGGGGCCACCCCGGCGGGGGACAAAGCCACCCCCGGAGCCCCTCCAGAAAAAGGCTGGGACCCCCACACGGCTCAGGGCACCCAGGTGCTGCCCAGGTCTGTTCCTTCTCAAGGAGCAAAGATCCTTGACTAAAAGGAGGGTTTGGCACAAAAAGGGTCTTCTGTTTGCCCCAAACTTTCCCCCCAGTTAAAATTTCCTGGGTAGGGATGCTGGCTCTGTTCTTCCCTGTCCCACAGAAGCCATCTGGGTCGCACTCCCCAGTTACAACCCACATCCTCCGACGCGGGTTTGTTTTGTTTTCTCTAGTTTCATGGAGATTATGTTCCAAATTGTTTTCTGTTTGGGTTTTTTAGGTTTTTTTTTTTTCCCCAGGAAGTTCTCATCAGGCTCCACAGCACTTTCCATTCCCACATGTCCACAGGCAGCAGAGCTGTGTGTGGGTCCTTGGCACCGTCCCCTTACAGGATATTAACTGAGAACCCCCAAAATCCAGTGGGGTCACTGTCCCCACGAGGCCACCCCGACCCAGCCCAGTCCTGGAGGGAGGGCTGGGGTCCCTCTCGCCCCCAGCCCACGCTGCCCGAGCTTTTCCGTGCACCCCAGAGCCCTCCCTTCTCTTTGGGAACGGCTCCTTCGCCCTGCCCGGTGCCCGGGGACCCTCCGGCCACGCCGGGGGGCTCCCGCCGGGGACAGCCCCGCCACGGGGACAATAATCGGCTAATTGAGCGGCGGCTGGAAAAGTCCCTCTGGACAATGCGGGGATTAAGGGCTGGAGCACGGAGTCAAACGGAAACGCTGGGGACGGCGGGGGGAGCCCCAAGGAGCATCCTCCCATCCCGGGGATCCAGGCCTGGAAGGGGAGCAGCACCCGAGCTCCAACCCCCGCCCCGAGCCAGGGCTGTGGGGGCTTGGAGCCCGCGAGGCTGCCGGCAGCGAGATACAGATCCCTTCTTCTCCTCCTCCTCTTTTTTCATCCCAAAAAGAGGAGCCAAAAGTGAAAAAAAAAAAAACCCCAAGATTGTTTTTTCAAGCGTGCTGGAATCCACTTGGATAAATAACAGCTCCAGAAACTGGGCTGCTGAAACAATAAACTTCCTCTGGACCCAACCAAAAAAGGACGCGGGGAGACGGTGGCTCCCCGGCCGGGCAGGGCAGGCAGCGGCGTTCCTGGGGGGCCGCGCTGGGGGCGGGGACCCGCCCGGCTCCGCTCTCCGAGCGCAGTAATTCAAAGCATATGGGAGCAGATACGGCGCAGGCTGAGCCCCCAGCACGGCTGGCTGCTCTGAACAGGGAATTCGGGAAGGGAAAAGAGGGGCCCCGGGGCCGCTGAGAGCTGCGGGAGGCTCTGGCAGAGAGAGAGGCTCTGGGGGTGGTGGGATCACAAGGGGGGCACGCAGAGACCCTCAGCATCCCGGGGGGAACCCCCATTCCAGCAAGGAGCCCACAGCTCCCAGAAGGAACCGTGCACTCCAGAGGGGACCCCACAGCACCCCAGAGGGGACCCCCCACCCCCCGGGGGGAACCCCCATTCCAGCAAGGAGCCCACAGCTCCCAGAAGGAACCTTGCACCCCAGAGGGGACCCCACACCTTCCAACCCCCTGGGACTGGCCAACCCCAGCCCCGGGGGATCCCCCCTCCCTGCTTTGTTTGGGTGCTCGGGGGCTCTTCCCCTCCCTGTGCCGGGCCCGGGCGTTTCCTCCAGCCTCACGTCACGCCGGGCTATTTCGGATGGTGAAAATTATTGTTCCAAGCCTCGGCTTTTGTCAGCACAGGAAAAATAAAGCCCCGGAGAGAGGGCGAAGCCTCCCGAGCCAGCCTGGGCCGGGATGCTCCAGGCAGCACCACGACCTGCAGCCCCTGGAAAAACCCAAACCTGATGGAGCTGCAGCCCAATAAACAACAAATAAAAAGCTGGAGAAGGCTTGAGAAAGAAACCATCTGCAGGGCCCAGGATAGAGCAGCCTTGGAGCAGGGAGTTCAAGTAGAACTGGAAATTGGTCATAAGTCAAAGCCCTCTATTCCCTGCAGACAATCTGTAATTTCAGTGCAATCAAGCTGTGCACATAAATGAGGCCTGTGCTGGGATTCCACATCTGGAAGAGGTTTGGGCTCCCGCCCGTGTGACAGCGGGGCTGGCCCAGCCCCTGCAGCTCTCGTTGGGGATGTGGCGCTTTTTCCATGGGGCCATTAGCACAGGGTCAGCTGGGGGGATTAAAGCCTCCTTAATCCCTGTCTGCAGCACCCCAGCACCTCACAGCCACGCTGGGGGGACGCCCCAGAAGTGCCAAATCCCCCGTTTGTAGCTGGAGCAGGAGTGGGGCTGGGGCCAGCCCTGCCAGCACAGCCAGGTGACCCCTCTGGGGCCACGGGTCAGAGCAGGGTGACAGCCCAAAGCACCAAGGCTGGCACCTCTCCTGCAGGGAGCTGGGCACAGGAACGACCTGGGCACAAACTGGGGTGGTGTTGGGGAGCACACGCCGAGAAACCTGGGATGTGTGAGCATCACCCCCTCCCCAGACCCACAGCCCTCCCTGGAGATCCCTGCAGGACAGAGGAGCCACAGCTCTGCTCAGCAGACACTCCCCATCAGCTGGGACACCGGGGCCGTGCCGAGCCCAGCAGTGGCTGCAGGGCAGGTTCCTGGGGCCACAGGCATCCCCCAGCCCCTGTCCTTGTCCCCCAGCCCTGCCCTGCCCATCCAGGGTGTGTTTCTCAGGCGTGGGGGGTAAATGCGCAGCAGCTGCAGCGCAGGATTCCTCAGCACAGCCTGATAATTAAAGATAAATAAAGCAAGAGTGTGGGAAAAGCCAAACGGGAGGCGGGAGCAGGGACCCACAGGGTGACAGACCTCCTACAGCCACCCAAGCCTCTCTGGCCACCCTCCTGTCCCCAGCCTGGACAGCTGGAGCTGGGCTGGGCCAGCGTCCCTCCCGCCTGGCGGCTGCTGGGAAGAGCCTCCCCCGAGCTGAGCACTCCTGACTCCAGGCTGGACCGGATGAGCGCTGGAACATGGCTCTGCTTTGAAGTGTCACTGCCCCAAACACATTTCCTGCAGCAGGGGCAACAGCAGAGCTGAGCACCCTGGGGACACAGGGGACCTGAGCACCATACCATGGGGACACAGGGAACCTGAGCACCGTGGGGACACAGGGAACCTGAGCACCCCAGGGCACAAACAGGACCTGGCACCCTGGGGCACGTGTAGGAGCCCTTCTCACCCGCAGAATTCAAGATTTGGCTGTCCCCAGCAGGATGTCCCCAAGGCACGTGCAGCCCTTGCCACATGCCTGGGCCCCTCCGCTCCCTGCCCGCACCCCAGTGGCTCCAGGAGACGTTCCCAAAGTTGGAGCCTCTGGTTTTGATTGTTCCATCTGGAAAGGGTTTGGAATAAATCATGTTTACTGCACGAGAGCAGAGCCAGGGTCACCGCATATTTGTAGGTTTCTGCCTACGCCTGTAGGTTTCATGTCACGTTTTAGTGGGATCGTGTAATGCCCTAATGCCTCTGCACGGTCACCCCGGCCCCTCCGAGGAGCCCTCAGCACGGGCTGGGAGCAGCTGGGCAGGCACTGGAGCAGGCCCGGGGTGTGGGATGGGATGCTTCCCCCAAATACAAACTGACAAAGGACTGAGTGTCCCCACGAGTGTTTGCGAGGGGCTGACACACGAGGAAGGGCCCTAAGGGGAAAGGCACGAAGAGCAAAGCTCACAAGTGTGATGGAGAGCCCAGCTGCCACCTGCCTGAGGACCCCCAGTGTCCCCCACCGAGGGAAGGCCAAGACACCCAGCAGTGCTGCTGTTCTGGGCCAATTTATGCTTTTAGTGTGGCTGTTGCACCCCTGCTCATGGCACCATGCCGTGGCACCGGTGCCTTCACAGCCACAGTGGGGACAGTGGTACCAGCGGGGTCACCTTCACTGCCACCATCACCCCAAAGCAGCAAGCATCAAAAGAGCAACACGGCCCATGGGCTCAGGACAAGGCAGCCCCCAGACCCAACCCCTGGAATATCCCACCCACTCCATCTGGGGGGCGAGGTGGGAGCCATGAGCACAGCCACCCTGACGGGGGGACAACGCTCCCCCGGCTGCAGAGCTGCCAGCCCAGCCTCCAATCCAGATTTTAATTCAAACATCTCCTCTGGAGTTATAAATAAACCCTGCAGCGAGCAGCACACGGCTGCCAGCTCCAGCCGAGCCCCCAACCCCCGGCACGGGGCCGCGAGGAAGAGGAGCCTTTAGGGATCAAGCAGCAGCGTTAGAACCTCTGCACAAACCCCAGACCCATTAACCGCTCCTGATGGCCTCTCAGTAAATATTTCCAGGGACAGCCGTCATTTTCAAACAAAAACATGTTCCCCTAGCACGCTGCGGAGGGAAGGAGCAGAAGGAGCCCGTTTCCTGCGCTTCCAGCTCACGTCCCCCCGGCAGCCCAGAGCCGCGACACCCCTGAACGCGATTTAAACCACGCCACGCAGCGCCGAGCGACGCTTTCGCGGCTGCAGAGCCGCTTACTGAGAGGAAAAAGTAAAGTACTGAGAGGAAAAAGTACTGAGAGGAAAAAGTCACTTCACTGCGCTCCGGCCCCCGCGGGGCTTCACGCCCGTCCCCGGTTCCCGAGGCCCCGCAGCATCTGCCCGGCACGGGGGGATGCCAGGGGCAGGGGGAGATGCCAGGGGTAGGGGGGGATGCTCGGGGGGATGCCGGGGGCAGGGGGAGATGCGAGGTGCCCGGGGCAGGGGGGATGCCCGGGGGAGATGCCGGGGGCAGGGGGGATGCCCGGGACGCTGCCGCTCGCGGTACTCACAGCGTGACGGTGCCCTCGGGCAGCAGGCGCGGCTCGGGCGGCGCGGGGAGCCCATGCCGGGGGAGCGCCCCCGCTCCCCCTGGCGCCTCCCCCGGCCCGCCCCGGCCCGCCCCGGCCCCGCCGAGGGCACCGGCTCGGCCCCCCCGACGGCACCGGTGTGGAGGAGCGGGGGAGACCCGCACGGAGCAGAGCGGGACCCCCGCGGGCGGGAGCCGAGACCCCCGCAGCACCGAGAGCGACGGTGCCCGGGTCCCACGGCAGCCCCCGAGGGTTCCGGCTGCTCCCAGCCCGGTTCCGAGCTGGGGTGAGGGGTCAGAGCCTGCGGGGGTCAGAGCCCACCGTGTGGCCACCCTGCGGTGCCTCGCCGCGACATCCCGGCTGTGACAAGCACAGGGCGCCGTGTCGGGGGTGGTGACACGCACGTGGGCCCGGCAGATCTTTTTGTGAGGTTTTTTTTTTTTTTTTTTTTTTTTTTTGTGAGTTCTGTGGTGTCCCCCACTGCCTGCCCACCTGGGACCCCGCGCCTGCCCAAACTGTCACAGTTCATTCCGTGGTCACGCTGCCCTGTCCCCTCCCAGCCTCCGCTCCGCAGTTAACACTCGTCCCCCTCGGCTTCCCTGTTTGCTTCACTGCTTTTCTCACTAAGTTCAATATTTTTCTTCCCGCTCCCCCCTCTCTCATCCCCGCAGCTCCGCCTCGGCCGCCCGGGGCTCGGCTTCTCCGAGGCCACGGCTCGCTGCAGCGCCGAATCAAAGGGGATCAAAAGCCGGCAATGAAGTCTGCAGGACCCCGTGCCAGGGAGCGCAGGAAAAGGGTCATGGAAGGACGACGGGACGACGCTGGGAATGCGGTTTCTCTCCAGGACCAACAGTTCCTGGAGGGGAAAAGAAATTTACTCCTCTCTCTCCAAACAAATAGAACCCGCCGCGGCGGTGGGCGCCGGGGAGCGAGAGCTGCTCAGCTCGCAGCCCAGGCGAGCACAAGAGCCCGGAGCCCGCAGAGCTCCCGGCCCGGGCACCCAGCAGGACAAGGATTGTGGCCCCAAGGGCTCCTCCGTGGCCAGTCCCACCCCCCAGACATCCCAGCTTGGCACTTGGGATCAGCTGTGGGACCCCAGAGCCCTGGAGACCAGCATCGTCCTGCTGGTGACAGACAATGAGGTGTCCCACGGATTTCCGTCTTTTTTTTTTCTTTTTTTTTCTTTTCCTTTCATTTTTTTCCACTGAGCAGAATTTTCCCTGCCTGGGTCTGCCCTGCACCATGGAATGTCGCTGCTCCAGGAGTGAGTCCTGGCACAGGACACCCCCAGCTCAAGGAGCCTCTCAGGGACAGGGTGGGATTGTCCTGGGGCTGTCCTGTGCGGCACCAAGAGCTCTGGGCCCAACCATCCTTGTGGGTCCCTTCCAACTCAAAACATTCCTTGATTCTGTGCTGGTCCCGGATCCTGAAGCTGGAAGAGAAGCAGGAAGCTGCTTGTGTCCAGCATCCGTCCTGAGACCCTGCCAGCATCAGCCCAGCAGGGAGCCCCCCCAAAGCCCCCCACGGTGAGTGGGGCCCCCCTTCCAGCTCTGCACAGAGCAGGAGTGGGCTCCCCTCCCTCCCAGGGCCAGGCTGGAGCCTGCTGCTCTCCCTGGGCATTCCCACAAGGGAGGGGAGATTCCTTGTCTCAGGCACTCACAACACACCCAGCACAGCACCACACAGTGCACCCCAAAACACCTCAGGGTACCGGGCACAGCCACCTCCTTTCACTGGATGAAGCTGAAATGAAGAAATCTGCACCTCCAGGAGCTCCAGTACCAGCAATGGAATTGCATCCGTGACACTGTGAAGCAGTCAAACCTCTGGGCCTGCTCTTCAGAATTTCAGCCTCTAAACTCCCTCCAAGAACAGTGAGAACCTTGTCCAAGCTGCGACGTGTGGAACACCCTGCCCCAGCCCCGCTGGAGGAGAGGAGCTCAAGCAACACTTTCCACATGCTTTGAGCCTGAGAGCTCGGGTTCTTTCAACTGCTTCCAAGCCCCTCTCCCTGCTTTTCCAGCCCCGACCCCTCCTGATGCCTCCGGCCCAGGAGACAAGGCAACTTTGAAACTCCATCGCCACGGTGCTGGATGCCAAATCCCTGTGTCCCTCCTTCCCTCCCACTGGAAGGTAAAAACCTCCTGAACTGCAGGCACAGGGCAAGACAACAAGCACGAGACTCTCTCAGTTCCTTTCACTGGGATCCAATAAAAACCTTGGCAGTGGCCGTCCTTCCTGCCGGAAAGCCGATATCCCAGAAATAAACACGCTTCCCACTTTGAAGGGCTGCAGGGGGATCCGCCTGGGCCCAGCTGCTCTGGGGTCCCAGCTCCCACCTCGGTGGCACCCAGGAGCAGCAGGGAGCTGAGCCCCAGCTCCCATTTTTGTGTCACCCAGGAGCAGCCCAGAGCTGACCCCCAGCTCCCATTTTTGTGGCACTCAGGAGCAGCCCAGAGCTGACCACCAGCTCCCATTTTTGTGGCACCCAGGAGCAGCAGGGAGCTGAGCCCCAGCTCCCACGTCTGCTGCTCGGGCCCTGCTCCTTCCCGAGGGTGAGGAGGACTCATTTCCCAGGAGCTGGAGGAAGAGCAGCAGCAAACCACCCTGTGCAGCCTCACCAAGGGGTTTATTCTTCAATAAATGAGCCAGCTCTGCCGCTGGGTGTGCTCCAAGCCCCCAGGAAGTTTTTCACCACAGAGCACGTGAAGTGCTGAGGCTCTGGGGGGCTCAGCCCGGTCCAGCCCCCACCCACGGGACATGTGGGAACAAGGGTGACCTCGGGGGACCGCTGGGCATCCTGGGGCCATGCCGTCGCTCCAGAGGGGACAACGCCAGCACCATCGGCTGCTGGAAGCCACGAGGGCGGCGCGGGCGGAGCAAACCCGGCCGGGGCCGGTGCGGGGAGCCCGAGCCGCCGCTCCGGGGCTCGGCTGGATGCAAACCCGGCCGGGGGCGGGGGCCGGGCACTCTTTCAGGACTCTTTCAGGGCTCTTTCATCCGCGGCCCGCTGGCTGCACTCCAGTGACCAGCAGCTCCCATCTGCCGGGTGATCTCTGCCAGGGAGTGGGGGGTCTGCGCCCCCCGACCCCCGGCAGGTGTCCGGTGCCACCGGCGCCGCATCCCCCGGCTCCAGGCGGGTCCTCGGGATGTGCCCGTGGGCAGCGCCCTCTCCCCGGCCCCGGGGAGGCTCAGACCCGTGGGAAGAAGGACAAACCTTCCGGGCATAACGAGAAAAGGCAGCTGGAAGCTCCACGGGTGGGAGAAGCAGCTGCAGGGGAAGGAGCAGAAGCTCTCTGAGATCCCCGCTGCTCTCCAGCCCAGCTCGGGCCGTGCCTGCACAGCATCCAGGCTGCTCCCCGAGGCCACGTGGAGCAGCCCAGAGGTGTCCTGGAGAGGTGTCCTGGGCCAAGCGCGTCCCCAGGGCCGCCGAGCCGCGCAGGGAGCCCCCCAAGCCCCCTGCCGGCCTCAGCTGGGGCTCCGCACCTGAGCCAGGTGGGCACACGGCGACTTTGGGGCTGGGGCTCCGTGCCCGGGCCGGCAGCGACACCCAGGGGCTCCTGCGGGGACAGCTCGCGACATGCCACAGCTCGCCCGGGGCTCTGTCACCTGCCCCGTCTCAGCTGCCTTCAGCCGCCCTCCTCTCCCCAGCCCAGCCCCGAGGGCAGCTCAGGGCATTCACTCACCAGGCTGGAAGGTAAAAATAACATCTTTAATAGCTCGTGAGCTGGCACAGATGGCAGTGAACGGAGCACTGTTTATTACTAGACGATGAACCACACACGGGGCAGCGCCAGGGGGGCGGCCCCGACCCCCGGCGCTGCTGAACCACGGGGCTACGACGGGTTGGAGGTGGAGTTCTCTTCTCGTTTACATTCAGCTTTTGGAGAGTGAAACCGACAGCAAGATTTAACCACGCGCACACAGAGCAAAGCCTGGGGAGGATGGTCCTGCTGGCAGCCGAGCTCTCCTCCTCTCAGCAGACACAAAAGCTCAAAAATCAGCTGTGACACGGGTTGTGAGACTGGCCAAACACCACAGGGCAAGGCAGGAGCTTCTGCTCACACCTGGAGGAAAGTTACTGCAGAGACAGTCCCATTTCCCTCTTCCAAAAGCAGGAGAGGATGTTAAGACACTCTAGAAGTTCTCTCAGGGACCAAATGATTTTTTTTTCAGGAACTCAGAATGCAGTGGGACAATGAAACTTCATTTTCTGAAGTATTTTCCCAAGGAAAGCTCCCTGCTGCCCTGAGCCAAGCACTGATATCCTCACACAGGTGTAAAGGGGATGGCACAGGCACCAAACCTTGGAAAGCAGCAGCAAGCTGGTGGCAGAGCAGAGGCCTGGCAGGAAACCCCCATTCTGACCAAAAAACAGCAGCAAAACTACCAGGCAGGATGAAAATAATTCCCAACAACAGAGGAGGGGAAAGGAAAGGAAGGGAAGGGGGGAAAGCATTCCAGATCTGGGCGGCCACAGAGCCATGGGAAAAGTTAGTGTCAGCTGAAAAGGACAAAATTGAGCTGAAAAGACACTCCCACACTTGTGCTGTGCAGCCAAAGCCCCACACCATGCACTCACAGTGGCAGCTGAGCTCCTCACAGTCCCCTGTGCCTGTCACTCACCCCTTCCCACGGCCATGGCCTCTGCTGTGCCACGGCACAGCCCCATCCCAGCTCCTGTGCAACCATCCCACGTGCTGAACTTGCACTTGGGGAAACATTTACAGGTTTCTGGCAATCATAAATGTGTTGAATGAAGCGTTTAGTCCTCAGCAAAAAACAACCACCAGCACTGCTGCAGGGACACCCACCTTGCTCAGCAGCAACTCCAGCCTGACAAACACCTGTTTGTGCAGCCCAGTTACCCCAAAGTCTCTGTCCTTGACGACCCTGAGGAACCAAGACACCACAGCCACTTCCAACCCTCGATTTCCTTGTTGGTTATGAAGATCTCCAGTTTCTAGGGGTACTCTATAATCACAATGATCACGAGGCATCCCGGCCTCTGCTCCGAGGAATTCCCTCTCACCATCACGATGGGTGCCCACACGGAGGGAGGTAAAAATGCATAGTGAGGTCTCCCACGGCGAGGTCTCTCCTGTGCTGAGGCCACTTGTCTTCCCTCTAGTGCCCCTGCACTGTCACAGCCTCTGGCTGGCCTCCACCCCCAGCGGGGGCTTTGTTGGAATAATCCCTCTCTCCAAAAATAGTGCTCCCGATCCTGACGTTTGTGGATCCAACCTCTATCTGGGAGAGACAGAGAGGAGCAGCTCAGGGCAGGGCTGCCACCACCCCACAGCCCAGCCTGGGCTCCCACAGGATGGTTCCTCACAGACTCAGCACCCACAGCTACACCCAGGGGCTGCTTTGACCCCAGATATCTCCCCCAGGACCAGGAGAGCTGCGCTGGGATCTTCACCCAAGGGGAAGCCTTGGGTTTGGGTGGCACCTGGGCTAGAATTTGGGGTGCAGGCACGTTTTTTCCCCCAGGGAAGGGGCAGACACACACTTACTGCGTGCTGGAAGTCCGTGGACATGCCCATGCTCAGCTCCACCTTGTCCAGGGGCAGGTTCAGCTTCTCACACACCTCCTGCCTCAGGGACAGCAGCACCTGCAGGGCACAGGGGACAGGAGAGGCCACTCACCTGCACAGCCACGCCAGCTCCCCTCCAGGGTGCCACAGATGCTGGCTCCTGCCTGTCCCTGATGTCTCCTCCACACAGGAGCTGAAACTCCCACATTTCCACAGAAGCAGTGTAACAGGGTCTGGAGGTCCCCCAGATTTACTAACACACAGGAGGCTCAAACCTCACCTGGGGCTCCAGCACAGCAACTGCTGCCCTGCCAAAATCCTGCCTGCAGCTTCAGAGGGTGGGTGGGAGCAACACCCTGCAGAAAGGAGCCTCACAGCTGCACTGACACTGGCACTGAGGGCTCTGCACAAGGTGTCCCTACCTCCTGACAGCCTGACTCGCACTGGTTTGACTGGGACAGACAAACCATGCCAGGAAACCAGCCCACAGTGCCATTTGCTGTGAGAAAACCTTACCTGGAAGTCAGGATTTGGCCCCTTACTGAGGTCGTGCCCGATGCTGCCGATGGTCATCAGCCCCACGAATTCCAGGCTGGGGCACTTGTTGATGACGTGCTCCACAGCAGCCGTGGTGTCCCCGGGGGCAAGGCCATGCTTGCCTGCAAAAGCACAGGGACATCAGTGCCCAGCTCTGCTTCCAGAGCACAAACCAGCCCAGCTCATCCCCGTTCCCTGCCAAGCCATGCACTTGTCACAAAGAGCCACTCACTGTCCTCCCCGCTGGTGTTAACTTGCACCATGACCTTCAGCTTCTGGGGTGATCCTTTTTTCTGCCACGAGCTGTTGACTCTGTCTGCCAGTTTCACAGAATCCACTGTTTCCAGCATGAACAGGTTTGGGACAGCTGGGGAGAGAGCACAGGCTGAGGGAATTCTTCTGGCAGGGGATTGTTGGTACCTCCAACAGGCACTGGGGAGTTCATGGGGATTGTTTCAGAACCATGAAAGATCCTGAGCTGGATCCCAAGGATGGCTGAGTCCAACTCCTGCTCCTGCCCACACACCCCAAAAATCCCACCCTGAGCATCCCTGGGAGTGCTGCCCAAACCCTCCTGGAGCTCTGGCAGCTGTGCCCATTCCCTGGGCAGTGCCAGCACCCTCTGGGGGAGAATCTTTCCAAATCCTGACCCTCCCTGACACACCTGAGCCCTAGAAGACCACTGCCCACATCAAAGCAAGCAGGACCCACCAATCAGCTTGTTGACATTGCTCTTCTGCAGGTGGCCAATGAAATGCCACTTGATGTCTGGGCAGGATGAGAGAATCTGAAAGCAGAGGGAATGCTCAGGTTGGAACAACAACTCCCCCTTCCCCCACGCAGCACTTCAGTCTTAGTTTGCACACAACCAAATACCAGACACCCAATTTCTTTGTTTGTTGAGACTCAGCCTGTGGTTGTGCTGGGGTTGAGCCTGGACAGGGATGGGTTTGTGACTGCAGGGAATGCTGTCCCTGGGAACAGTGAAGGCAAAGCTCTTGTGCAACAGTCATAAAATGATATTTTCCCCAAACTGAGTGCTAATGTTTGTTTGTTTTTTTTTTTTTTTTCAACAAGGACTGTACTTCTCCTAAAGAGAGCACAAAAGGCAGAGCACAGTGCAGACAGGTCAGGACTAAGGCAGATGTATTCCCAAACTCCTCTGGAGCCAGCCAGGCAGGAGGGGGAACAGGGCAGAGGCAGAGAGCCAAGAATAACCCACCATTCATCTGCACAGATAAGGATCCAGCCAAAGCCCTAACAAACCCCAGGACTTTGACAGAACAGCTCCTAGGACACAGCTAGACATGGTAAGAAAGCATGGAGTGAACTGTGGGCTCACCCTGGAGTCTGATGCCTTTTCCAGCAGCTCCTGAACCTGGGAGAATGAAGGAGAATGAAATTCTGTTAAACCCACAGCAGGCAGAGGATTGGTGTCCTTGGGATGTGTGATCTTGGGGCAACCTGAGCCCCAAAACCACGAGGCCAGGGAATGATGTGTCACCCACAGAGCCACCCAAACAGGGCTGGTCCAAGCCTTCAGGAGGAATTTGTTCATGGAAAGGGCTGTTGAACATTGGAATGGCTGTCCAGAGAGGGGCTGGAGTCCCCACCCCTGGAGGTGTCCAAGGAAGGGCTCAGGAGGTGGCACTCAGTGCTCTGGGCTGGGTGACAAGGTGGGGATGGGGCACAGCTTGGACTCGATGCCTTTGGAGGGCTTGGAATGATTTTGGGATTCTGTGCCCTCTGCAGGGGCCCTGTCCCACCCCTCTGACCCTGTCCCATTCTTACTGACCCTGTCCCAGCCCCCTGCCCCTGTCCCATCCCTGCTGACCTTTTCCAGCCCTGCTGACCCTGTTCCATCCCTGCTGACCCTGTGTCATTGCTACTGACCCTGTCCCATCCCCCTGTCCCATCCCTGCTGACCTTTTCCAGCCCTGCTGACCCTTCCCATCCCTCTGACCCATCCCTGCTGACCCTGTCCCATTCCTACTGACCCTTCCCATCCCTGCTGACCCTGTGTCATTGCTACTGACCCTGTCCCAGCCCCTGACCCTGTCCTAGCCCTGCTGACCCTGTCCCAGCCCCTGACCCTGTCCATCCCTGCTGACCCTGTCCCATCCCTGCTGACCCTGTCCCATCCCTCTGACCCTGTCCCATCACTCTGACCCCATCCCTGCTGATCTTTTCCATCTCTGCTGACCCTGACCCATCCCTGCTGACCCTGTCCCATCACTCTGACCCTGTCCCATCCCTGCTGCCCCCTCCCAGCTCCCTGACCCTTTCCAGCCCTGCTGACCCTGTCCCATTCCTCTGCCCCCTCCCTGTCCCCTGCCAGCCCCCCACTCACGTAGTTCTCCCCGAAGCTGCGCTGCCCGTGGCTGTAGGCCTCCATCACCATCTCTGCCGGCTTGGTCTTGCTGACGGCCACGAGCCGCGGCTGCACGGCCGGGAGCCCCTGCGGGAGCACGGCGGGTGAGCACGGGCCTGTCCCCACGGTCACCGGTGACCTGTCCCCACGGTGGGGCCCGTCCCGGTGCCACCGCGGGCCTGTCCCCGCGGTCACCGGTGACCTGTCCCCTCAGCGCGGGCCCGTCCCTAGGGTGGCGGAGGCCTGTGGCCGTGGCAGCGCCCCCTCCCCGCGGCTCCCGCCGGGTTGTCCCCCGTGTCCCCCTCACCTGCGGCCGCCGCGCCGCCGCCTGCTGCACCTGCTCGGTGACGGCGCGGAGCGCCGGGCCCAGCCCGTCCCCGGCGGCCATGCCCGCTCTCCACATCCCCGCCCGCCGCTTCCGCCACACACCCGCCCCGCCCCCGCTCTCCGCCAATTGGATCGCTCCGTGCGGCGCCGCCGGCCAATGGGAGCGGCGGGGCGGGGCGTGGCGTCGCCATGTTGGGAAGGTCGCGGGCGCCATGGCGGCGCCGGGGAGCGGGGCCCGGCCGGGGCTCCCCGCGTGTGCCCTCGCCTGGGTTTGGGGACAAATCCAAATCGTTCCGTGCCCTCGGTAACCGCAGCGAGCGCTGCCAGCCGCGCACCCGGCTGTTCCGGCCTGCCCACCCCCAAAAATGATGTTATCCCTGCACGAGCGGCCTGCCGAGGGTGTGGATCCCGATTGCTGAGGGGAAAAGCGGCTCGGAGGCAAGGAGGGAACGCGGCTGCCCCTGAGGCCCCGCCTGAGGTGCGGCGAGAGCTCGGAGCCCGGCCAGAGCCCGGAGCCCGGCCAGAGCCCGGCCAGAGCCCGGCCAGAGCCCTCGGGCAGCTGGAGCGGAGGGACGAGGCCCGGGCAGGGCGGGAGAGCGCGGCTGCAGCACATGAACTCAAATATTTGTCCTAAAGTGCAGAACTTCACCGTCCCTCTGCAGATTCTGTGTTTACACAGCTGGTGAAAAACACCCAGAAGGTTCCTGCCCTTTGTCTGGTAAAACACGACAAGGGTTTTGAGGTGTTTGCTGCTCCGGTCTGTTTTTTGCTCATTCTGTAGCAAAGCGGGCGCTGACAGACTGGGATTCCTCCCAGCCTTCTTCCACCTTCCTCCTCCTCCCTGGAAAGGGAGAACCAGCACAGCACCGACCCCCAGCACCCCACAGCCCCCACTCCCACCTCGACCTCCCCTCTGCAAAATCCTCCCCTGCAAACACATCGTGGGATTAAAATCCATCCAGAAACCCCGAGGGGAACACTGAAGGTTCTAAAATTGAAGGCCATTTTATTGTCATAGCAAATACCAAAATAAAAAGGCTTTGAATTCAGTACATAAGAAGATCAAGGACTGCACTGGCAGAGCATTTCCGTGCTGCCAGGAATCAGCAGTGCCACAAACCTCTGCTCCCTTTGCTACAGAGTGGGTTGGAAGTTCAGATCTTCACCTCAAGGTTAGAGAAACAGGACAATTTGCCTGTTAGAGGAATACAGGTTTACATGGAGACTGAGCCACTCTGGAACATTCAGGACATTTTAGTGTGAAGAAACCTGAATGAAGACACAACAACACATTCTGGCTTATGAAGACTGACACACTCTCAACTTCACTTTTCTTTTTTTACTCTTAGTACAACTTAACTAAATTACACTAATGCTTTAGCAATTAGGGTTTTAATTAAAAAAAAAAATATTAAGAGCTCTTTATCCCAAGCTATTGTCTTGCTGTGAAATCACACATAAAAAAAAGCCTTTATAACACCACTTTGGCTTAGTAGGGTCCTTTCATTAGTGAACAATACTTGTGTAAAAGGAGGTGTTAGTTGCTGATGGAAACCTCGAGCACAAACGCAGAACAATCTCAAGTGAGCTCATCCTCATGGCTAAAAACTTCTGCTATTCCCTGTTAGAGCCTGCACAGACCTATTTATGAGTATTTGGGAATATCACAGCCTCCCTGGGGATGCTGCTGGGTCTGATGTAGGTCTGCAGATGGGACATCCCTTAGCTCCTATTTCCTAAGAAATACAAAGAGGATGGGACTTTGCTCCAGCAGAAACTGATGTTTCATTTCTATTTTGCATTTTCAAACATCAACAAGGAAGAGAAAACTGCTGTAAAAACCCTGGAGTGATTCACTGAGCTCTCAGAGCAACACAGTGATGAAGGTTTGAACACTGAAGGGTGAGACCAGGGGTGCTGGGGAGCAAGAATTTGGGCAGGAGCCTGTGAATGCACCAGGCTGGTCTCTGACAAGCACTGGCATCATCTCAGAAGAGGATACTGGCCTCTAATTACATCAGCAATTAATCACCAGGCTCTGCTGCCAAATGCAGATGGATTAGGGAGGGAAAAAAAAATGTTCTCTCTAGGCCTGGACTTTTATCCTCCAATTTTGCATGTGTGGAGAAGAAAGCTCTGTTCCGTCTCTAGAGGGAACATTCTGGAACACTGTTCTGAGAGGAAAAGGGGAATCCATCTTTGGGAATTCAGGAAGAGCTGCTTGTCTCTGCCCTGTGGCCTCTCAGGGTCGTGGTTTGTCCTTGGCCAGTGGGAAATGTTCCTTCCACAAGGTCCCTCAGCCCCAGTCCACAGGAGCTCTGCTGTGCTCACCTGCAGGTCCTTTTTCTACTCAGACACTGTAAACACTGAGCTCCAGCTGCTCCCAGAGCAGATCAGCTGAAAAGCTGTCTGCTCACTCCAGCAGCTCCTCCCCAGCAAGGCCTTTTGTAAACTCAGGGTCCCTGAGACAAAAATTCTTTCCTCCCTGGTTTTCTGTGACAATTTCCATCTGAAGATCCCACCCAGCTCTGCACTCCAGGGTGCTGCCCACACCCTCCCCCAGCAGCTGAAGTGCTGGGACAATTCCACCACACAAACATGACAAATGGAAAACAAAGCAGAGTCAGGACACAGAAAATGAAGAGTTTGTGTTTCTCCCTGTGGGATGTGGTCTAAGGCTTCGATCCCCCCAGGGGTGGGAACCTGCAGGACTCCAGCTGAGCCTCTGTCCCTCACGGGGTCACCTCGTGTGGCCCCAGCCTTGAGCAGCCATCTGTGTGTAATGTACAAAATCTAGCACCTTAGTTTCAGAGGGGATTGAAATAAAGTACTTGGAATTTTCAGTAAGAAAAAAAACCAAAACAAGTTGTAGCAGCAAATCCCCTCCCTCCAAAACCTCAACATTTCTTTACCTGCAACTGCTATGAACCACCTCAGTCCCAAATTAGGTTCCCACCCAAGCTGATAGGCATGACAACCTCTCCCAAATCCTTGGTCTGGGTGACCAAGAGCAGCTACAAAACATACCTGGGGCTTAGAAATTACCAGAAAACCCACCCCGTAAATACCAAAGTCCTAGTGTCTAATTGTCATATAAAAGATTGAAAGGATTAAATCTGATTCATCTCTTTCAGCACAGGAAAAGGGGGAAAACTAAAAGGAATTTCCCAGTTCATTATTTTTTGATATAAAATGAATAGAAATCTTTCTTTTCAGTTGATGTTATGAAGTAGTTTTGTGTCCTCACTGGTTCCTGCCCCGTCCTCCTCTTGGATTCCTTCTGCCAGTCCCTCTGCAGATTTGCTCTGGCTCCCTGCAGAGTCCATGAACATGTTGGGAATATCTTTGCCAAAGTAGATCTTGCTGTTGGCTGCGATTGCCTTGTACTTCATCAGCTGCAAGTACTCAGGAGTTAGCTTGAGCTGCAGGGAGAGAAAACGGGTCACAAGAGCTCGGGGGTGGGAAAAGGGAATTCCTGCCTGAGCACATGAGGCACAGGCTTTCCAGGAGCCCAGCAGGCATGGCCAGCCCTCCCCAGGGAAAACAGAGTGCCCAGAGCCAGGCTCTCCTCCAGCAGGGCTGAGGGCACTCCAGAACCCAGGGACTAAATGGCAGAATGGAAAGGGAAGGGAGCAGAATGGAAAGGGAAGGCTCAGTGCAAGCGTGACGGAGTGTTCCAGAGCACATCCCTCACTGCAGCCCCTGCAGGGAGAGCTGAGGAGGAGGGAAACATCCCTGGCTCTCTCCAGGGAGCACATCCCTCACTGCAGCCCCTGCAGGGAGAGCTGAGGAGGGAAACATCCCTGTCTCCCTCCAGGGAGCAGATCCACCAGCCTGTCTGGCTGAGAGGAGCTCACTCCTTCAGGATAAGGACATTGTAACAGAGAGGACAAAACCTGGGCCCTCTGCCCCTTCTCACTGACCACCACACAACTGGAACTCCCTGCTGGGATGTGCTGGCAGCTTGCTGTATCAGGAGCACACCTGGCCATTCTATCCATGCCATTTTTCTGTTTCCAGGTTGGATTTTTTGTTGTTTTTACTTCGCAGTACTGAGGCTCTTCCAAGGGGTCTGAGCTCAGTTCTTTCTCTGCACTGTGGTTTATTCTGCCCCTGCCTGTCACCCTGGAGATCTCCCTGTTCTGCCTGCCAGCTTGAGACTGGAATGAAACCACATTTCTCATCACAACAGTGTGAAAGGGCAGCACTGAAAGTGATATTGCACAGAGAGCCAGGACCAGTGAGCACCTGGCAGAGCAGAGATTTCACATTCTCCGACAGTGATCCATCCAGAGAACAAAATGAACTTGCAAATAAGGATCTAATTGTTGACTAATTGTTTCAGATGAAAGCTTTGCTGAGAGGAGATGGCCTTGTTTTGCTTTTTGACGTCAAGGATCACTGCCTGCCCTTGTGCTGGTATTTCCCTTCAGCCTGGTGCCAGGGGCCCTGCTCTGAGGCACCACAAAGGAAAGCACAGTACCTTGTTGGCCTCAGCCACCTTCATTGCAGTGTAACACTCAGCATCAGCTCTCGCCTTCTCTCGTGCAAGAAATGCAGCATCTGGAAGCAAACACATGCTCTGAGTGACATTTTTATTTCCAGCCACGTCAGCACTGCTTGCAGCTGCTAACTATTCTGGAGGTGGCCAGGGGAACCTCTGAGCTACACAGGATACAACCAAGGCAAGAGAGAACAAAATGGGAAACCCAGAAATGGGAGCTCAATTTCCCATTTACAAAATGGGAAACCCAGAAATGGGAGCTCAATTTCCCATTTACAAAATGGGAAACCCAGAAATGGGAGCTCAATTTACTGCAGCCAAATGGCTGCAGAACAAGAGCATGAAGAAGCAAATTGCATCTGCAACTGCAGAGCTCAAAGAACTTCACAAACATCAGGGTTTGATTATCCCCATCACGTGGGCTGAGCTCAGCCTTTCTTCTCGAGCCAGGGCTGACTCTTGTGCTCCAACACAGCAACTGCTCTCCTGCAGAGGTGGGATTTACCCACAGCCCCTGCCCAGGGTGCCAGCAGCAGCCTGGGCAGCCCAGCAGACTGTGCAGTGAGGTCTGTGCTGTGCATGGCATTCCCAGCTGGGATTTGGGATATGCAGATGAAGGTTCTGGCACACAGAGCAGGGGATTTCAACCTCCACAGGCTCTGCCCTTTGCACAGATGCTGGAGAGCTTTTCTCTGCTGTATCAACAGCATGTCTCTGTGGATACTGCAGTTCCTGACTCCTGGCACAGACACTTAAGGAACATTTCCCCTTTCTGAACTGCACTTTTTCCTCGCTGCATCCATCCAGTGATAATGATGGGTATCAGGCCAGCAGGTTACAGATAAAATGAGTGGAATCCTGCCACCTCCTGCCACTCCTCCTAAGGCACGGAGCCACACAATTGCAACATGTCAGTCTGGGGCTGAGAGCTGCACAGCTGGATAAACCATTTGTTTACTTCCCCTAGCAGGGAGGCCTGGGAGCTGCTGCACTTAAAGATCCTGTAAACAGCTGGATGGTCTGGCCCACATCTGCCCCTCCTGGCTAAAAGGAGAGGCTGGTCCCAGTCAGAGACACCAGGAAAAGAGGAGGAGGCAGGAATCCTCTGCCAGCACAGAGCCAGACTGAGGGCTGACACCTGCTGACACAGTTATAAGAAACAAACCCCATTGTATTCCTGCAAAGAACTTCTTAATGAGAAGCTGCTGACCTGTAAAACTCTTAATTGGCTCCTCAGTGGCTTCTGCAAAGCTTGTCAGGGACTTTAATGAATATAAGGGGAAAAAAAGCCTTGCCACTCCTGAGCTGGAATTGCAGAGCCCTCTCCATGCCCTGGAGTTTCTCTGACTTTACCAGAGGGGTGAGGGAACATCTCCTTAAGTTCAAACCGCTACAAAGATCACCTTGAGAAAGGGAGTTTCAAGAAGGACAGCCTGCAAAGAAATTCCTATTCCTGCCTGTGGTCAGGAACTTCACCCCTGTGAACATCAGCCTGGACTGAGGAACAGCCAACACACACTTCAAGAACTCCTTCAGGATTTACTGACTGGAAAGCTCACCCCCACTCACCTTCAATCTCTGAAATCCGCTTCTCTGTCTCCTTTTCCATCACTTTCTGTCCATAAGTTATTTCAGCAACTTGTGCAATCTTTTCTGCCTCTGAAATGAAAACAAGAACACGCCCACGCTGTCATCACACGTTTTCCTAACACCAGGAGCAGCCTCACCCTGGAAAATCCTCACTCATCACCTACTTCAGGTGGAAATAAACGGTGGGAAACATTTCCAGCCCACAGAGAACAAAGCTGGAGCCCACCTGAAAAACTCCTGAGCTTCTCTGGGAGTATCAGATCAGAGAAGGTCCCAGAGTGAACCACGTGCATCCCTCCCTGGGACCTGGGGTCTCTCTGCTCCCTGTCCCCCCCTTCCCTAATCCTAACCCAAACCCAAACCCTTATTTTTTCCCCCCCATCCCTTCCCCAGCCCCACAGACCAATCAGAGCTTTCTTCCTCTCTGTCTCTGCCTCCTTCTCCACCACCTTCTGCTTCTGTGCTGCTATCAGCAGCTTTGTCTTCTCACTCTCCCTGGGGAGCAAGAAAAACCAGTTAAACCCATTAGAACCAGTTAAAACCAGGAGCTCACTGGTGTGGGACACACAGCACACCCCCAGAACGAGCTGCTGGCTCTCCCCTCCTTCCAGCATGTGTCCAGGGCAGCTGGGATCAGCAGTGTCAGGGCAGGCACCTGCACAGAGCTTTCTGCCTGAATCAAAGCATTCTTTCCTCCCCTCCACAGCAGGAAGATTTCCCTGTGACAGTCCCTGCAGGCTGCACTGGTGCCTTTTCTATCTTACTGGTTTTTACTCACATTCATGAGTTTTTAAAGTGAACAGAAATTAAAACTCTGCTGCTGCTCCCAGTCAGGGAAGAGACACTGGAACTGAGTTTCTCAACACGTCCTGCTGTATTTATGGCAACACAGCACAGGCTGATCTGGGGCCTCCTGCCACGACCACAGCACACAGGATTTACCACAAGCCCAAAGGGTGAGAGGCAGTGCTGGGGAAGCAGAGAGCATGAGAGGGATCCAATCCTGGCTGAGCAAAGTGCTGGCAGCTGGCTCAGGGCACTGCAGGGGGATCAGCACGTCAAGTGCTGTCAAAGAGAGTTATTTCAAAGCTTTGCAAGTCTTCAGCTTGTTGAATCAACAGTTTCTCCATCCCAGTCAAACAAGAGGATTAGTGGTGAAATCCATCCCTCTGCCACTCAGCCTCAGCTCTGGGAGGGCTCTGGAGCACAGGGCCAGGGGAAGGAGCCCCAGGGAAAAGCATCCCAGGGAGAGCTCAGAGCTGCCCCATCCCAGCCCCTTCCTGAGGGGCACCAGGATGCCCCAGCCCTGAGCTCAGCTGCCCCTTCTGGGAACACACAGGCACTCACATGAGCTCGTAATTCCTCCGGATGGTTTCAGGGATGTTTGGCTTTGTAACTCGGACTGCCTGCAGAGAGAGACACACAAGAGAGCCTGGGCCAGCAGCCGCGTGGCCCCTGGGGCTGTGGGTGGCACTCAGGGCATCCTCTGCCACCAGAGCTGCACAGACTGTGAGCAGGCCCAAAACCCACAGAGAAACAGCACTGAAAGGTCTCCTGATATGAGAGGAGATTGTAACCTGGGCAAAGCAGCACCCAGAGGAACTCCAGGAGAAACTCAACACACCAAAACTGTGAGGGGACCAGAAGGACACTGCTCCCACTCCCCAGGTTAAATAAAATCTCTGTTGTAAAGCAATTTCCTAAACAAATCTCAATTTCTTGCTCCTCTTTAGCCCTTTCCCCTCTTCAGAGTCTGCCCCTTCAATATCTCAATCAAACCCTGATTACCTGTATAATTAATCCGGGGGCCATCGTGGTTAGGTCTTGCTGCAAGGCCAGTTTAAGGTTTTCATCAATTTGATCTGAATGGGGAGAAAAGAAAAGGGAATGAAACATCCCCCAAGGCAGTGTCAGCACCCAGAGTGAGCTGGGATGGCTCCCATTTCTTATTCCTGGAAGGCACAAATGGCAGCTGGCTGAAGAAGTGCTGGGCTGACCCCCAGGCAGGCTCCCAGCAATGGGACACACCACAGGAACGTGGCAGCATGAAAGGAAACCCTGCAGTTTCCCATAACCTGCAGTCTGGAACCTTCCTGAGCCAGAGGCAGCATCTCCACAACCAGCAATCTGTGCTCTGACCCCCTTGAACTGAACTGCCCCACAAATCCTGGAGTGACGAGGTAAATCCTGACCTGCACCTGTGCCAGCAGGACACGGAGCAAATGGAAAGGCAGGAATGGGAAATGGCAGCATCAGTTACTTGAGCAGGCTGCAAAAATCATCAGTAATGTCTCTCTGGCTCAAGGAGTCCCAGAACTCCAGCGTAGCTGAGGATTTCAAAAGGAAACACAACCTAAAACCCTGCTCTGATGAAAGCTCCAAGGAGGGCAGTGCTTCCAGCTGGGGCCTGCTGGGAAGTGCAGAGGGAAAATCAAACAGTAAGGGCCTTGAGAGGGATCACATCACACTCCTGGATGTTTGCTTTGGGCCCAGTTTCCTATCTGGAGCTCAGGCTCCTAATGAAGGCCAGCCAGGAGTTTGGGAAGCAGCTGTTATCAGTTCCCTGCACCTGCTGGCAGCTGTGGGGGCAGAGGGTGACTGAGGCTGCTCAGAGGGGCTGTGCCCCACTGCAGAGCCCCAGCCAGGCCCAGGGCTTCCAGGCAGTTTGCACAAGTTCCTTCTGTGCAGAGTGAGAGCTTTCAGCCCATTTCAAGCAGCAGCTGCCAACATCTGGAGCCTGCACGGGCCAGGAACCCGTCCAGCCACCAGCAGGAGCTGGAACTGGGGGGATCTGAGCCCCTGCAGCAGTGTGGGAAGGGCAGCCAGGCTCCTTGGAAAGCCAGGCTGAAGGGAGAACAGGAGCCTGCAAACACCCTGTGCTCACTCAGGCACAAAGCCCGTCCTGCTGGGCCCCCAGCAGCCCCCTGCCCACAGCCAGCAGTGCTGAGAGCCTGGGAGGATTTCCTGTCAGCCCAGAGCCAGAAACAAAACACTCTGCACTGGCAGCTGCTGGGCCAATCCCACCAGGAAACCACAGCTTTGCTCAGCCCTCCTGCCCTGTGCTTCCCTGGAGGGGAGGGCAGCAGGCCCCTGCCAGCCCTTGTGGCACAAAGGCCCAAAAGCTGAGCCAGTGGTGCTTGCTCAGGGTTTCTGTGGCAGCAGAGAGGCCCAGCCAGGCTCTTCCATCTGGATCAGACAATCCTGTGACCAATTCAATCCATCACAGCTGCTGCACGCACAGAGAACACCACAGAATTGCTGCTGCCTTCCCTGAAGGGAGGCTGCTGGCAGGGCTGGCCTTGGAGCTCATTGTTACAACATATTGAAGCACTCAGCTCCAAAAGATAACAGGGATAAACGACGGCAGCTGCCTAAAAACCCCAGCTCCACGCAGAGCCAGCTGGGGATTCGTGGATAAAAGGCACCAGCTGGGATTCTGCAGTGCCAGCCCAAGGGGACAGCCCCCAGCAGCACTCACCAAAGAGCTCGATGTACACCTCCTGCAGGGTGTGCACGCTGCAGAACTGGTTCAGCTCGTGGTGGATCTTGTTGAAGATGAGAGCCTTGTCGTAGTCGGCCGTGTAGTTCTTGACGATGTCGTACACTGGGAGAGGAGAGGAGAGGAGAGGAGAGGAGAGGAGAGCAGGCTCAGCACCCTCAGGGAAAGCCCTGCAGCTCACTCTCAGTGCAGTATGAAATCAAGGAGCCCTTGCTCTCACAGCCTCTGCTCAGGTCTCCCCAGGATCTCTCCCCTGCCCTGCTGGGGCTGCACACACACCCCCAGCTCCCTGCTGAGCCAGGCACTGCCAGGCTCAGACCCAAAGGATTTGGGGAAAGGCTGCCCAGGTGCTGTCCCTGGGCTGCAGAGGAGCCTTTGCCCACAGCCCCTGGCTCCCCTGACTCCAACCTGCTGCACACAGCTCGGGGGGGCTGGGATGGAGACAACCCACAGCCCAAATTCCTGGGGGAGAGGGCAGAGGTGACAGCAGGAGCTCAGGGCTCTGCCAGGTGCTTGGGGCACACGTGTGGGACAGCCTGGCTGCCACCAAACCAGCCCCCAGCCCCTCCTGAGGGACAACCTGAGTCTCTTCAGGTAAATCCAGCTCCTCCTGAGGGACAGCCTGGGTCCCTCCAAACCCAGCCCAGCTCCTTTTGTGGGACAATCTGGATCCCTCCCACCAAATTCAGCCCCAGGTCCTCCTGAGGGACAGCCTGAATGCCTCCCACCAAATCCAGTCCCACCAAACCCAGCCCAGCTCCTCCTGTGGAACAGCTTGGCTCCCTCCAGGTAAATCCAGCCCTTCCTCTGGGACAGCCTGGCCCTCTCCAAACCCAACCCAGACCCTCCTGAGGGACAGTCTGGATCCCTCCAGGTAAATCCAGCTCCTCCTGTGGACAGCCTGGATCCTTCCCACCAAACCCAGCCCCACCAAACCCAGCCCAGCTCCTCCTGAGGGACAACATGAGTCCCTCCAGGCAAATCCAGCCTCTCCTGAGGGACAGTCTGGATCCCTCCAGGTAAATCCAGCTCCTCCTGTGGACAGCCTGGATCCTTCCCACCAAACCCAGCCCCACCAAACCCAGCGCAGCCCCTCCTGCCACCGCAGCCCCGCCCCGGGGCACAGCTGTGACTCACCCGCGCTCTGGATGAGGAAATTCACCACCTCGATCCTGTCGAAATAAATCATCACTCCCCCGCTGCCAAGGGAGAAAACACCAAATGATCCTTGCGGGAGGCTGGGCGGCTCCGAGGGGCACTGCCCCCTCTGTGGGACCACCCCAGCACGCCCCGAGCCCCGCTCCCCGCGGGCTCCCTGTCCTCCCGGTGTCCCGGTTCGTGAGGAGCCGAGGGGGAAGAGCTGAAATTCTCACCTGGTGCCGCACGGGACATTCTTCACCTCGTCCGTCTGCAGCGTGGTCTGCAGGGGATTGAAGGAAAGAGGCTTAGGAGAGGGATTTCCCCGGCACGGAGGGCAGCGAGCGTCCCGAGAGCCGCCGGTAGCGGGCACGGCCAGCCCCGTGCGACGTCCCGGTGTCCCGGTGCCCCGGTGTCCCGGTGTCCCGGTACCCCGGTGTCCCGGTGTCCCGGTGTCCCGGTGTCCCGGTGCCCGCCCCGCCCGGGCCCGCGCCCAGCAGCACCTGCACTGACTTGTAGGACGTGATGAAGGGCAGCATGAGGTGGAAGCCAGGCCCGCTGGTGGAGGTCAGCAACGCGCCGCCGCTGCGGAGAGAACGGGAGAGAGACAGAGGGAACCGTGAGCGGCGGCGGGGCTGGCCGCGGGCCGGTTCTCTCCCCGCCGGGCTGCCTCACCGGTAGTAGACGCCGATGTGCCCCTCGTCGATCTTGTGCACGGCCGAGAGGAGCGCGGCGGCCGCCACGCCGAGGGCGAGGGCGGCGATGGCGCCGAGCTGGGCCATGCCCGGCACCGGCGGCGGCACCGGCGGCGCGCCACTGGCGTCATCACCGCGCGACCGCGCCGCCGCCGCCGCCAGGGGGCGGTGGAGGAGCGGCGATGTGGCGCCGGAGGCCGCGGGTTCGAGACCCGCCCGCGCCCGCGGGGTTGGGGTGCGGAGCCCCCCGAGGCCGCTCCGGGCGGGGGGGACAGAGAGGGGCACCGGGCACAGAACGTTAGGTGTCGGAAAGGACAGCGAGACTCATCCCACTGCAGCCTCTGCCACGGGCTGGGACATTTCCATTTCCCACTTTACCTCTTTCCCACTTTTCCACATTCCCACTTTTCCCACTTTTCCACTCTCCTACTTTCCCACATTTCTACATTCCCACTTTTCCTACTTTTCCACATTCCCACTTTTCCCACATTTCCACATTCCCACTTTCCCACATTCCCACTTTTCCCACTTTTCCACATTCCCACTTTTCCCACATTTCCACATTCCCACTTTCCCACATTCCCACTTTTCCCACTTTTCCACATTCCCACTTTTCCCACTTTTCCACTTTCCCACTTTTCCACTCTCCTACTTTCCCACTTTTCCACATTCCCACTTTTCCTACTTTTCCACATTTCCACTTTTCCACATTCCCACTTTTCCCACTTTTCCTCATTCCCACTTTTCCCACATTCCCACTTTTCCCACATTTTCACATTCCCACTTTTCTCACTTTCCCACTGTCCCACTTTTCCACATTCCCACTTTTCCCACTTTTCCACATTCCCACTTTTCCTATTTTTCCACTTTTCCACATTCCCACTTTTCCACTCTCCTACTTTCCCACTTTTCCACATTCCCACTTTTCCTACTTTTCCACATTCCCACTTTTCCCACATTTCCACATTCCCACTTTCCCACATTCCCACTTTTCCCACTTTTCCACATTCCCACTTTTCCACATTACCACATTTCCACTTTTCCACATTCCCACTTTTCCCACTTTTCCACATTCCCACTTTTCCTATTTTTCCACTTTTCCACATTCCCACTTTTCCACTCTCCTACTTTCCCACTTTTCCACATTCCCACTTTTCCTACTTTTCCACATTCCCACTTTTCTCACTTTTCCACTTTTCCCACAGAAGACCCTCAGCTGGAAAGGGCCCACAGGGTCATCCAGTCCAACTCCTGGCCCTGCACAGACACCCCACCGACTCCACTGTGTCCCTCAGAGCATTGTCCAAAACAGGGTCATCCAGTCCAACTCCTGGCCCTGCACAGTTCACCCCACCAACCCCACCGTGTCCCTCAGAGCATCATCCAAATGCTCCTGGAGCTCTGACTCTGATGTCCAGCCCAAATTCCGCCTCTGTCAATTCTTGTTCGCAGCCACAACATTTTTATTTCATCTCTGACCTCCCCTGCTGTCACCCCCCACACGGACCCCCCTGCTCGCTGGCCGGACCTGCTTTGGGATCACAGGAAATGGGATGGGCCAGGCAACAGAATCATCCAGCCCTGAAATCCTGGAAAGGGCCTTAAAAACCACACATAAAACGTCAATAAAGGGGAAGGATTTGATCTTTACTCGTGATGGATCTCTGAGGTTATGTATAACAACCCTGTCAGGAGGGTTCAGCGCCATTTAGGAATAAGGAATGAAATATCCACGATATTTGTCAATCCAAATTTTACAGCTCTTAAAGAAGCGCAAAAGGGCGCCAGAGATGAAAAACACCCTGTAGTTGGTGTTTTTTTAAAGGCGGTTGCCCAGATTTAAGGCCTTGATAAAATGTATTAAATCTTTAAAGGTTTTAATGAATCTAGTATGTGTTTCATAAATCACCAGCCTCTGCTCAGCCCCTCTCAGTTTAATAAGGGTAAACTAGGAAATTGCTCTGAGCTGGAGCAAAATGCATCCATGGAATATTGAAAAGTAATAGGTTTTTAAATGTGGGGTGTTCTGGCTCGCAGAAGAGGTTTTGCTTCATAACACCAGCACTATATCACTGCCCTGAGCGGGAAACCAGCTGTGGCCACGTGTTTAACAGCATCAAGATGTGAACCAGCACAAAGGTAAATATTATTTGTAATAATCCTGAAAAAAAAATAAAAGCCAAAAAAAATCATTACCGCTCCTGGACTCGAGTCCAGGAACATTCAGCGGTGTCTGTGCCACGGCGCTCGGGGTTTTAACAGGGCTGTTTGTAGGAATAAATGGTTTATTGCGCCCAGTTCTCTCCAGCTCCTTCATCCCTACCTCATCCCGCTGCCCTTGTAAAAATATCCTGCGGGGTTTTCTGTGCAGTTCAGTGAGAATTTGGGGGGCTCTGGGTGCTCATGGGGATGGAGCTGGGATGGGACCCAATGGGATGAGGGCAGAGCTGGGATGGCCCTGGGCAGAGCTGGATTAGCCATGACAGAGCTGGATTAGCCATGGCAGAGCTGGATTAGCCATGGCAGGGCTGGGATGGCCATGGCAGAGCTGGGATGGCCATGACAGAGCTGGATTAGCCATGGCAGAGCTGGAATAGCCATGGCAGGGCTGGATTAGCCACGGCAGAGCTGGGATAGCCATGGGCACAGCTGGGTTCTCTGCTCTGGGTGGGATGAGGGCAGAGCTGGGATGGCCCTGGGCAGAGCTGGATTAGCCATGACAGAGCTGGATTAGCCATGGCAGAGCTGGATTAGCCATGGCAGAGCTGGATTAGCCATGGCAGGGCTGGGATGGCCATGGCAGAGCTGGGATGGCCATGGGCATAGCTGGGTTCCCCATGGGCAGCCCTGGGTGGGAAAAGCCCAGCTCAGTCCCGGTAGGCCCAGCTCCATCCCGGTAGGCCCAACTCAGTCCCGTTAGGCCCAACTTGGTCCCGGCAGGCCCGACTTGCTCCCGGATAGGCCCGGCTTGGTCCCGGTAGGCCTGGCTCTGTTCCAGCAGGCCCAGCTCAGTCCCGGCAGGCCCAGCTCCATCCCGGTAGGCCTGGCTCGGTCCTGGCAGGCCTGGCTTGCTCCCGGTAGGCCCAGCTCAGTCCCGGCAGGCCCAACTTGGTCCCGGTAGGCCCCGCTCAGACCCAACTTGGTCCCGGTAGGCCCAGCTCAGTCCTGGCAGGCCTGGCTTGGTCCTGGCAGGCCCGGCTTGCTCTCGGTAGGCCCGGCCCGGTCCCGGCGGGGCGGCGCAAGGCGCGGTGTAAAGCCTGTCTGCCCTCGTTAGCTGTCACAGTAACAATGCCGGGCTGGCAATAAAGGCAATTCCGAGGCTGTTGGTCATTAATCACTGCCTGACAGCTGGGAATAGGGCTGGAAAAACTCCGGCCCCGTGCTCCTGCTTTGGCGTTTAGGGTTACCTGTGCAGCTGGAGCGGGGGGTGCAAAGCTCTGCCCCAACCCCACTCCTGCCTCCATCTCCATTTCTATCCTGTCCCTGACCCCATCCCAAATTCTGCCTCCATTTCTAGTTCCACCCCATTCCTATCCCCATTCCTATCCCCATTCCTATCCCCATTCCTATCCCCATTCCTATCCCCATCCCATCCCATCCCATCCCATCCCATCCCATCCCATCCCATCCCATCCCATCCCATCCCATCCCATCCCATCCCAGCTGTCCCCTAGCTGAAACCTGAAGGAGCAGTGGAGCCCAGGAAGGGAAATCCCTGGAAGGAGCTGGGAGCCGCAGGGTGCTTGGCTGGGCCCTTTCCTGCTCTGCTGTGGCTCAGTCAGGGCAGGGCAGCGCAGGGAGGGGGCTGTGTGGGGGAACACTTCCCCAGTTCCCTCCATGGAACGTTATTTGCTGATTACGGGGCAGAGCTGTGTTCCAGAGTGTCCGGGCTCGTTCCCTGTCAGCTCTAACAATGCAGCACTTGGCAGCTCGGTGGCGTGGGCCATTAATCATCCCCTGACAGTCCGGAGCTCACACGTGGTCACTGTGCCCCCTCCCCACGGCCAGCAGGGCAGGGGGGCTTCCTCTGCCTTGGGTCCCCCCAAACCCATGAGCTGAGGGTCCTGGACCCACATCCTCTTGGCAGGGTGGGGTGGATGAGGAGTGGGGAGACATTCCTGCCCTCACCATGGCAGCAGCCCCAGGGAGGAGGCTCTTGGGAAAGCGCTACAGAGCTGGCATTCCCAGCCTTTTCCTCCCCACCACCATCCCCTGCTCCCCGAGCCCCTGGGCAGGAGCTGGGGTCTGTCCTGGGGGAGCTGATCCCGCTGGGAGCCCGTTCCCAGCTCTCCCCGAGGCTTCTCTCCGCGCCCCTCGTCGTCCCGCAGGCGCCAGCCCCGTGGCCGGGTGCCAGCGTGCCAGGTCATCCCCCAGTAAATAAAGGAGCAATGTGTTTCCAGCCCCCCAATGCTGTTTTCTAAAGGGAAATGATTAATGGTGCTTGGAAACCACAATTCATCCCGGGAAAGAAAGTAGATTTACCCGAAACATGCGTGAGAATTAGTGCTGGGATGGGCTCCTGGGGCAGAGGAGGGAGCTAATGGCAAACAGAGCCTGTCTGTGTGCAGGGGGAGGGAATAGCCCGCCAAAAACATGGGCTGGAGGAGCTGGGATGGAGCTCCAGGAGGAGGAGAGTGGCTGTCACAGCCAGGTCACCTCCCCAGCTGAACCTTGGTCACTCCTTCCCTGACCCGCAGTGAGATGGTGACGATGGAGAGGGGAATTCTCCTGTCATGTGTGTCCCAACAGCACAGCAAAGGATGGATGGTGCTGATGGGGCCAACACTCACCATTCCCAGAAGTCCAGGAGATACTTGGGAGAAGCAGGAGAACCCACAAAGCTCCAGCCTGTAAATGCCTGGTGCTTCAAAAATGTTTTAGTCACCTTGCTCCTGCTGGGGGCACCCACTGGGGTAACTGGGATGGGCTGGGGTGCACCACAGGAGCACGGAGCCTTCCAAGTGCTTCACCCCTGGGCAGCAGGAAACCTCAGAGAAGGGGAAAACACAGTTTTCCTCCGTGAGGGTGGGAGGGAGGCGGCCGTGGCAGCCCCAGCCTGGAGCGTGGGAGCTGCAGCATCATCCTGCTGAGTTTCCAAGTTCATGGAAAAGGTTTTCAGGCACAATTCCTGGTCTGCTTCCAAGTTGCTGTGCTCTTCTCTGCCCAGGAGAGCAGCAAGGGAGGGGAGCAGGAACAGGTGACATGAATTTACCACCTGAATTCAGAGATAACCCCAAGAGCCTGCCTTTACCTCAGCTCTGGATCAAGGCAGCAGCTGGCCCCACGCAGGTCCCGTCCCATCAGCAGTGTGGAGGAGCTCGGACAGGGCTCAGGGAGAGAGATTTATCTGTGGGATTCCAGGAAGGGCTGGGGAAACCTCGGCGAGGTGCTGACGCCCAGGTCAGGAGCCATCCCTGGCTCGGTGATATATTTAGAGCGGGATAATGTAAGCGACAGGAGGGGAAAAAATAAAAAAAATCCGTGGAGGAGGTGCAGATCCGTCCCCTTGGCTGGGAGTTACTGGATGATCCGAGCCAGGGAACAGATAGTTGGATTTCCCTTATTTCTCCCTTCAAATAAATCACAGCTCCAGAGGCCTTTAAACTCTGCAACATGATCTGTTCCAATAAGGAAGGGAATGAAAGGCTGCGTCTCTCTGGAAGCCTTCAGAGCCATAAATCTCCTATGTACAAACACAGACCAGATTTCCAAGTGCATTTATTTTATTGTATTGTTTTAACAGAAAAATCAAACTGCAATAAACTCCGTCCCTCATTAGCTGTCTCCATATCCAGGCCAAATGTTGCTAACGAATAAAATCAGGACAAAGGAATGTGGATGTGGGTCCAAGGCCTGGCCGGGCGCTGACCCCCCGAAAGGCATTTCCCTCTGAGCCTCAGAGGTGTGGGATGAGGAGAGCCAAGGGGGTGGTTCCTGCACTGCCCATTGCTGGGGGCCTGCTGGGGGTGGGCACCCCAAATCCAGCACCCCTGCCAAGGAGCTGGCACCCCTGCCAGGCCCCCACCACAGCAGCTGGAGTTTAATTTAAGGGTTTCCTGCTTCAGTGGTCCCTGATGTGCACCCCAAGAGCAGCAGGAACAGGGGGCAGTTTGGGTGGGTGCTCCCCAGGCTCCAGGAGACCCCCCAGCTGCCCATGTGAAGGGGCTGCAGAATTGGGGCTGAACTTGTTAAGCACCAGGTCAAACCCCAAACTTGCTCTGGAGCTGTCGGTCGTTAATCAGCTGCTGACAGTCCTGAAGGGCCTGGCTGCTGCCAGAGCCCAGGGACAGGGATGTGCCTGGCACTGGTGGTGGCATGGTCCCCAGTGCCCCCATGGGTTTTCCCAAGCCCCCCAAACCCGCCCCAGGGGACACCCGTGGAGGGAGCAGGGCTGTCACATCCCAAACACAGCATCTCCTGCGACTCGGTGAGACGCAGGGAAAAGGCGAGACTCAGTCCCAAGCAGGCTGGGAAGGAGCGAGGAGCCTGTCTGCAGGATTTATGGCACTGAGCTGCAGAGCCCAGAGCAGCGCCCGCGCCGCGCGGGTCCCGCCTCAGCCCACGGAGAAATTCCTGACTTATTGAATCACATTTGTCATCCCTAAATACATATGCAGGCCCGTGTTTCTGAATCCATAAACATCTTTAACTAACTCCGCTCAGCGAGGCCTCTTTCAGCAGTAATTTATATTTAACTTTTTCCATATGCAGGGCCTGTCGCCTTGGTGTCATTTCCGGGAAAGCCAGGGGGGCTGGGGGAGCGGGGGGCGCGGGGGGAGCGCGGCGTGTCTTGGCCCGCTGGAGCGGCCCAGCTGCTGGCACGGCGCGAGAAATCCACCCGCCAGAGCCAGTGCTCATTAATCATTTGAACTACTAAACTGCCAGCTCCTTTCAAGATCTTTCAAGAAGTGTTTTCACCCAAAATAGAGTTGAAAACGCGCCGGGCCCTACTTTCAGAGTCTCATCCATCTGGCCATTATGGGGAGTGTCAGGCGGCTCTGACAGACAAGGCTGCTCTGTTCGAGGGGCCCCGGCCCCACAACCTGTCATATCGCGGGGCTGATGGCATCTGACAGCTCCATTTGTACCTCCCCGAGAGATGAAAGGGCAGCTCCCGGCCGCGGGAGAAGGGCAGGGCCAGGGGGATGAGCAGGGGCAGCCCGGGGTGCCAGCAGCATCGCTGGCCCCATGGACACAGCACCCACAGATCTGTCCCCAGAGCCCATCGCTGCCCTGGGGGGCTTGTGGCCATCTGGGGTGTGATCACAGGCTGGGGGGCTGTGCCCGCTGCCCACCCCTGGCTGTGGTGCTGTGCCCTGCTGGCACAGAGCACCCCAGAGCTGCCAGCGCTGCCCTGGCCCCCATCTCCCCCAGACTCACCTGCTGTGCACACCTCCAGTGCTCAGAGCCAGTCCCCAAAGCCAGCAGGACAGTCCCAGTACCCCCCCCATCTCCCCCAGACTCACCTGCTGTGCACGCCTCCAGTGCTCAGAGCTCAGAGCCAGTCCCCAAACCCAGCAGGACAGTCCCAGTACCCTGAGGGGTTCCCCCACAGCCAGGAAGGCTCAGGGTTTGCTCCACACCAGGACATCCCAGAAGCAGGTGGGAGCTGCTGGATGCTGGTGCTCCCCTTGGGGTGCTCCCCCCGAGCTGCCCCAGTGCTGCAGGATTTCTGTGCCAGCACAACAACTTGGAAAAGCTTGGGAATTATCGAGGAGCAGCAGCAATGGGGACAGAGCACACCCCAGCAGCCAGAGGAGCAGGCACCCAGCCAGCCCCATCCGTCCCAGTTGTTCCCAAAACAAAACCCAAGCAGAGCCCCAGAGACTGTGAGAACCCCGAAGGAAGGAAGGGCTTTTGGCTCGTTTCCATTTTGCCCAGAACACGGCTCTTCTCACCTCTGAGGGGGGCTGTCCTTCTCCAGCCTGTTGGATGGTACTGGGATTGTTCTGGGAATGGGAACAAAACCCCACAAAGGCAACACTGCTCCAGCAGAAACCAGGAGTCCCTTCCATGCTCGGGGATGAGCAGCCCCATCCTTCTCATCCAGAGAGGAAAACACAGCAAATCTTCTGGGTGCTTCACTCTGCCCTCTCCTCCCTCTGGGAAGTGCAGAGAAGACTGAGGGCTCAGCAAAAAGATCTTTAACAGTCCCCATCTCTGTCCTTCTCCCTCGGAGCCCCCCAGGCACCCTTCCTGCAGGAGCTGCTCGTGGAGAGGTGGCCCCAGGACCTGAGGCTCCCACTGCTCCCATCTCCTTTGGGCAGCAGCATCTCCCTCTCCCAGGGATGCACCAGTGGAGATGCAGGGGTGCTGTGGTGGGCACCAGTGCAGCCCCAAGCGCTGCTGGGGAGCCACCCTTGGCAGCTGTGGGGGACACAAAAAAGGCCATTTTGGTTCTCTGTTCCACTGAGGTGTCTGCAGGAAAGGTCCGTCAAGCCCCAGAAGCCACCAGCTGCCCAGGATGCTGCATCCTTCATTTCCTTCCAAATTTTGCCACGCCAGGAGAGGTGATCCATGAATTTTGGGACCACAAGGTGTTGGAAGAGGTCACGTTGCACCCTGCACAGTGTCGGGTGTGCTGTCCAGCTCTGCTCAGCCTGTCAGGGCCAGCTCTGGTAGCACAGGGTCAGCGTTCCACTGCCACCTTTGGCAAAGGCACCTCCTCCGTGGGTCACATCCTCCTGTCCTGTGTCCCTGCACCACGCTGGAAGGTGGGATGAAGTCATGGCAAAGCTGCTCCCGGAGGTTTCCATGAGCACCTTCAGAAAACACACGGGTCTGTGTAAATCTGTGCAGATCTGTGTAAATCTCTGTTATTGTGACTTGAGCTCCAGGACCCTGCTCTGTGCACGGAGCTGTCGGCTGAGCGCCCTCCCCTGCTCGCCAGGGAGCTTCAGCTGAAGTGTTGGTGTGTAAGGATCAGCACTCCTCGGTTTGTCACCACAATAAACAGAGGGTGACTGTGACCCAGCCTGCAGGAACGAGCGCGATCGCTGCCACACTCCGGTGTCAACCTGTGCGAGGAAATGGCCGTGGCCCCAGGGCTCTGTCACATCCAGGGGCTCTGTGCTGGACTGTCACGCTGATCAGACACTGGAGAAGAGTGAAACATGGCCATGGTCACCCTGGGCACTTCCCGTGGGTCACTGGTGACCAGCCAAGGCCGGGTGTCCTGGTGTGGCGAGGAACAAGTCAGCGTTATCGCTGCCGAAGCTGGAACCAGAGCTGCTGGAGGATCTGCTGCTGGAGGATTTGCAGCACACACCAATCCATGGCCACGGCAGAGACAGCAGCAGCTCTTCAGCTGATATCCAGAACCAGAGGAAAGTCCACTCCCATTTGTGGCATTCCTGGCCACTGCAGTGCCCGGGTGCCTGCCCATACTCTTCTGGCTTTGGTGCCTTGAGTTCTTTGTCCTTCTCCACTCACCTCGTCCAGCCTCTTGTCACTTATGCTGTCCCACTGCTCGGAGTGGCTGGAGGTGATCCCACAGCAGGGCAGTGCGGGGCTCTGGTGGGCACACACAGCTCCACACCCTGGTGCTGCCCTGGCTGCTCCGTGTCACCGCCGTGTCACCGCCGGCTGCTCCAGCTGCTCCTTCTGCAGGGCTCCAGCTCACAGCCTGGCACAGGACCTCCGCTGCCACCTCCAAGCACAGCTCTGTCTCTCCAGGTCTGCTCTCAGCTCATGCAGCACCAAATGTGCCCCAAAGCAAAGCCCAGACCCCAGGTTGGGCACAGGGATGCTGGTGGGGGGACAGGAGGTGTCCACGCCACTCTGACTTGGAGGACAAACAGAGCCTGCGTTCTCCGTGGCTTCCACCAGTGCTCACGTGGAAAGAAAAGCTGCTTTATGCAACTGAGGAACTTCTCATCCACCCACCATGGCTCTGCTCTGGCCCATGCCTCTGCATCCCGACCTGACCCCTGGGCAGGCTCCAGCCCTCGAGGACGCCGTGCTCCGCTCTGGACTCTGAAACGCCTTGTACGTCTGCGGGCAGCCACCTCTGCATCACCTAAAAGACATCGGGGATTTTTGTGCAGGAGAGGAAGGAAAACAACAAGAAAAAATAGGGCCTGGCTCTTTCATTCACGTATTTATTGGGCGGACAGCGTGGCTGTGGTCAGCTGGGCTTCGGCCATCACAGACGGGGATATTTATAAGGCACGCGGAGCGGCTCGGCGTGTGCGTCCAAGTCATTCCTTCCCCGGCACAGGGTATAATGTTGCCTTTGTTCGGCTGCCTCCGGCACAGCAGAGCGTGCCGTGCCGCTCGGCCGGGCCCCTCGCCGTGCCCCGGCAGCCCCGGCGCAGCCCCGCTCCTTCCACACACACCACGGCCCCGGCAACTGCCACCATAAATCAATAGGGAAGGAGAGGCTGCCAGTTAGACTAAACAAGTGCATTTGCAAGGATTGCTAACCCTCATTAATCACTCTGACAGTCCTAAAAACACATTTCCCCTTTAATGACTGTATTTGGATAATCAGAGCTTTTTCCTCGCGGCGCGGGGTGAGCGGCGGTGGGCGCGACTTCGGCGAGCGCCGGCACCGGGGTCACCGGCGAGTCAAGCGCTGCAGGTCCCCGGCAGCTCGGGGCGAGCTGGAGAAGGTGCTGCTGTGCCACAGGGAAAGGAGCCACCAGCACAGCCCCAACACTGCTGTCCCCACGTCCGACACCCACCGGTGTCCTCCCAGCCCCGGCTGGATTCGAAAAGGTCTTTTTCTGCCTCTCCGCGTTCCCTTTAGGTGACTTTTGCCTCCTGGAGAGGTTTGAAACCTGGCACATTTTTCTGTATAAATGATGCAACACATTAATGCACAGCACATTATGAAAATGGTAATTCAAACCCATACAACTCTAAATTAAGCCATACATTATCCGACCCACTCAGCCATATATTTTGCAGAAAGACAGGATTGAATCAAATCAAACCGAAACTGTGGAGTGCAGGTTGTTAGACAGAATGATTAATAAAGTGCATCCCAGTGCTCTTATTATAAAATGAATTCCGCAATAACCTGGGCATACATTACACAGGGAATTATTTAATATATTGGCAATGCAACTGTTCCCCAGCAGCTCCAGCCCGAGTGCCGCCGCTATCAGATGATACTCGCGGTGTTTACACGGTCTGGCCCCGCTGCTGCAGTCCTTAGGGAGGGGAAAAATATTCCTCAGGGAACCTCCTGCACAGCAGAACACATCCAGGCAGCACCCGTGGGTGAAGGGAAGGCGCACGGGCTTGTTTTTGGAGCAGGAGACATCCTTGTGTGGCAGGGTTTGGGGCAGAGAGGGATGGAGCGTGAGGAGGGATGCGTCCAGCAGCTCTGGGAGCAGGCTCTGGCAGGATGAGGCTGTGCAGCCCCTTGCCCCGTGCCCTGGCTGGGATCTGGCACAGCCCTGGCAGCGCCAACACCCGGAGCGGCTGTGCCGGGTGTGCTGATTTTGGCACTGGGCTACCACACCTTCAGGCTCTGCGGCATCATCCTCCCACCCCGCGGCACGAGGTGCCCAGCCACGGCCAGGGACTGGCGTGGTGGGACAAAATCTCAGTGCAGGAACCCGAAACAGGCCCCATCATGAAGGATTTATGATGGGCACCGGCAGTGCCCGAGCGAGGCCGACACCGAGTGGGGGCCACATCCTGGGAGAAGTGATGCTCCCGAGGGCCAGAGGGGCTGGATACCTCCCGTGCCACCAGAGAGAAGGCACTGGAACTGCTCTGCACACCGCTCCTGGCATCCTCCTCCACGGCCAGCATCAGCTGCCGGAGGGCTCAGCATCCAGCAGGGACACAGGAGGCTGCACCAGCCTGGGCCTGGCACCCCGTTCCTGCTGTGCCCACAGGACAGAGCAAACACCCGCAGCAAAGTGCCCCTGTGCCAGCCCCAGCCCTGCAAACACCCCTGTGCCAGCCCCAGCCCTCATCCAGCAAACATCCCACCTGGAAGGAGCAACACCAGCACGGCCACGACCGGACCCCAGCCACGTCCGCACAGGGGCAGCCACAGACCCCCAAAACCAACCTCGGGGAGCTCAGCACGGAGCCAAACTGGCCACTGGACCACCAAACCTCTCCTGCTGCCATAGGAAACCCGGCTGGGCCCTCCCACCGGCCACACGCCCGCAGCCACGCTCGAGGCACAGGCAGGGAAATAAAAATCCCTTCAGCAAAAGTAGTCCCTGTTCTCAGCGCGTTGTTTTTCAGCTCAAAGGACACAAAGGAATTTAAACACAGGGCATAAAGCAATATCGAGAAGGCAATTAACAGGGATTAATTGCGTGACTCACTGAAATGCAATAGGAACGAGGCAGAAAATAAAAAAGTGGTAGGGGGCAATGGGGCATGCAGGGTTTCGAGGGGGAGCTTGGCCAGGGGTCCCAGGGCTGGAGGAAAAGTGCTTTCCTTGGGGCACGGAGCAAGCAGAGCCCCCCAACACGGCGGGGATGGAGCCAGAGCCATTCATCCCCCTCCTCTCGGCACCGAGACGGAACGGGAGCAGGCAGGACCCGCCAGCTGCCGGCCGCCCGCACACCGAGACCCGGCACCCTGCTCCTAGCACACCGGCACCCCTAAAACCGCACCGCGGGCACGGCTCTGATCCCGCCGAACGCCTTCTCGAACCTTCCCACGCGCGGGGACACCGCGGGCAGGGACACGCGGGGAGGGGGACGGGGGCGCGGGGCCGCTCCGGTGCCGCGGGGCTCCGCCGCTGCCGCTCCCGCCGCCGCTAGATGGTGCTGGGACCCCGCGGCCCCCGCCGGACCCCCGGGCAGGGACGAGACCAGACCAGAGCGTGGGTACAACCAAGAGGCGTTTATTAACAAAATCAGACTTACCGGGGCTCGTCCGCCCGCCCGGGGCCGCCGGTCCTGCCGCTCCTCCGGTCCCCCCACCGGGGATGTGGGGGGGACACGCGGGGTCCTGCAGCCCCCGGCGAGGCACGGCCTGGGGTGAACATCACCCGGCCGGTGTGAGCAGCCCCCCCCGGCCCCGGACACAGCGCGAAAAAAGGAAAAAAAAAAAAGAGAAAAAAAGTAAAATAAAAAAGAATAAACCACAAAAAATTTTAAAAGGGAAAAAAAATTTGAAAACCCCAAAGATTAAAAATAAGAAAAAAAAATTACAAAAAGAAATTACATCTGCAAGTTACAAATGCAGAGAACAGAATCCCAGAGCGATAAACGCAGAGGGGAAGGAGGAAAATGCCTTTTTTTTTTTTTTTTTTTTGTGTTAATATCACAGTGGAGATGGGATTTGGAGTGCAGATCACGTCTAGTTTTTCTCCCGTTTGGTGGTACTCCAAGTGAAAAGGACAGCAGATACACTCTTGGCAACTGTACAGGGTGGCTTTTTTTTTTTTTTTTTTTTTTGCTTTTCCATGTGTGGCAGGAGTCATGCAAGAATTTCTCGGGGGAAATTAAGAAAGGGGAAGGAAAAAAAAAAATTCAAAAGAAACAAAAGGGGAAAAATCAAAGCCCCCCACCTGCAAAGCAAAGAGGGGATATTTTTTTTTTTCTTTTTTTCGGGGTTTTTTTTTGTTTTTTTTTTTTGGACACAGACTTTTGCATACCATTGATTCATTGGTGTATAATGCACTTATATTCCCAGCTTTAAGCTAACATACAGTAATAAATACAGAGTCCAAGGAGGGCGCGGGGAGGCTGGGGCTGAGCCGGCCGGGGCCGCGCTGGTTACTGATATCCCAAAGCCGAGGCTGACGTGAGTCTTTGGCCGTAGAGCGCGTACGGGGAGTAGTAAGGTCCGGCGGCCGGCAAGGAGGGCACGGGCAGGGCGCCGGCCGCGGGCAAGTGGCTCTTGCCGTAGGGGTGGTACCTGTTTAGTCCCAAAGTGTGTGGGCTCCTCAAGGAGAGCGAGGCCGGTAAGGTGTTGGGGCTGCCGGGGGCGGCGGGCGGCAGGTGCAGGTGGCAGGAGGCCGCCGAGCCCAGCCCGGAGGTAGGGTAGCCCGCCAAGAGTTTCTCGGCCCCCGGCAGGGCCGTGTGGGTCCGTAGGTGGGTGAGCAGCTCCTCCGAGGTGGCAAACCTCTTGTCGCAGGGTCCGCTGGCAGACACCCAGTTGCATATGTGGGGCAGGGGGTCGTTCTGCAGCATGAAGCCGTAGGTGTACAGGGGGTGGCCGGGCAGGCTGGGGGTGCCGCCGGAGGAGAGCGTGGTGTGCACCGAGTGCAGGGGGTGCGTGGGGTACACCAAGGGGTATCCGCTCTTGAGGCTGCCGGGGTCGTGCACGCAGCTGGAGCAGTTGCTGGAGCCCAGGTGCGAGGCGCTGTGGTAGCTCAGGCAGTACGGGTCCCGGCATAATCCCTGCATGAAGGAGGGCGGCGAGGCCCCGGTGAGCGGGCTGGAGCTGGGCGGTTTCCCCGGCAGCCCCAGCGCCCCCGGCAGCTGGCTGCCCACCAGCCCCGGCTTGGTGGGGTCCAGCCCGGGCACGAACTGGGACGGGTAGCCGGCGTAGGCGCCGACGATGGAGCCGTGGTAGCCGATGCTGGAGGGCGGCAGGGGGAAGACGGAGTGGCCCGGCTTGTAGGGCGACACGGGGGCCACATGGCCGGCGGGCGGCAGCGCGGGGGGCTCCGACTTGCGGCCCGAGGGGGGCTCGCCGTGCGCCCCGGCCTCCACCACCCCGCGCCCCAGCGCCCCGCCTGTCCCTTCGGGGCTGGGCTTGCCGCTCTCGGGCTCCTTCTTCTCCTCGGCGCCCTTGGGGTCGGGGTGCTGCGGCGAGGCCCCGCGGGAGCCGCCGGGCGAGGCGGCGGCGTGCGGGGGGAACGGCGGGCACGCGGCGCTGGGCACCCGAAAGCCGGCCTTGTCCGCGCCGCCCTCCTTGCGCGGCTCCCCGCCGCCCTTCGAGTAGGGCTTGAAGCTCGACTTGTCCTCGGCGGGCGCGTCCCCGCCGCTGCCCGGCGGCTTCAGCGCGGCGGGCCGGGCGGAGGGCTCCTTGTCGGCGGCGGGCGCGGCGGCCGCCACGGCGTTCAGCTTGGAGGAGGGCGGCGGGTCGGGCTTCCCGATCTGCGAGCAGGTCTGGGCCAGCAGCGCCAGCGGGCTCTTCTTGGCGTCCAGCTGCGGGCGGAGCGGAGCCGGTCAGGGGGGACCCCGACGGCGCCCCCGCACCGGCCTCCCCCCCACCCCCCGAAAGGGAAGCAGCCGGCCGGGAGAACCGGGAGCGCCGGGCTGGGAAGCAGCCGGCCGGGAGAACCGGGAGCGGCGGCCGGGAATGCCGGGAGCACCGCGCTGGGAAGCAGCCGGCCGGGAGAGCCGGGCTGAGAAGAGCCCGGCCGGGGGGACCGGGGGTGCGGGGGTCCGCGGCGCGGTCGGGGGCGGCGGGCACTGACCTCGATGGGGCTGACGGGCGTGGAGGAGAGCGGCTGGAGGTACTCGGGGTGCAGGAGGTGGCCGCCGTGGGCGCTGAGCATCTTCAGGACGCGGATGGGCAGCCGGCTGGCCTGGCGCAGCGGGTCGGCGGGGGGCGGCCGGGGCGACGGGGCGGCCGCGGCTCCGCGGCTCG